CATGACCAAATCCTTTACACCTTCCACATCGAACCGGTTTCCATTCATAGACAATTTTTTGCTCTTGCAGATTTCCCCATTCATCCTCAAACCATATTTCCCATTTCAGTTTCTCCTTAATTTCAACCTCTACTAGGACCCTTGCATAAGCTGTTCTGTTTTTCTGAGATGTCATGTCATCCATTTCCAAAGGTGTTCCAATCATACTAGTCAATTTGCTCAACGTTTCTCCATTCCAATACCGCAATTTAAGCTTAGGAAGCTGTATCCATATAGGCACAGTCTTTATTTCATCCTCATTTATGTCATTTTTAACTGACCATTCTTTTGTTATGAAAGGCCTTCCGTAAAAATGATAGATATTCTGTCGGAGCATTTCCTCTTTGGCAGCATTCGTTGCAATTTAACCACAAAAACACCACTGTCAAGCATTATCACCTTTTCTATTCCTAATCTGCCCCAATTTCTTCTGATATATCCATTGACAACCGGATATGGCGGTTTTGCACCAAGAACATAGCACATCACAGAATTCTTCCAGTACTCCACCTCCTACTCCACCTCTTCCTTCTCAATACGACAGAACATACGATCATTAACAACAGTTGGTTCAACAAATCGAAGTTTCTTTTCCAGCAATTGTAATTTTTTGGGATCAAATTGATCCCAGCAATTCCGATCGGTCTGAATCCCCTGCTCAGTTTCCTTCGATTTTGAACTCTCTCCTACTTCTACTACCTTCTTAACACTTGAAGTAGCCAGATCTATGTCCAATTCAACTGCCTTCGGATTCAAGCTAATCGTACCTTTACCAGATGAGACTTGCTTTTACACCGGTGAACTTTCTGCCTCCTCTCTAGCTGTTTGCACTTCCTTATTTCTGCTCTCAGCTCGCTTCTTTGATCCCCTCGCCATGGCGGAGCTCCAAAGCGTGATGATGATCAATTGCGGTTACACACACTGACGGTGTTTTCGCCCGCAGAAGGAAGGAGAGAGAGCGATGTTCACTTTATTTATTTTCTAACTCCCACAACTGACTTTCACTTGTGCTTATAATCGGTTTCTTGCTCCCACCGCCATAGCCACACGAAGAGCAGAGGGGAGTTAGTTATTGGGCGAATCTTAACGTGGAGCTTCCTGCGGTTGGTGACTCCGCTCTTTGGTCTACGCCACAAGTAAGCACGTCATTCCAGCAACTCAACGATCTTGCAGGTATGTTTGATGGGAATTAAGGTGGGATGAGCTCATGAACAACCCAAGATTTGAAATGGTACGTGTTAATGAAGATAACCGTGACTAACTTGTACTATGTAGGAAGTTTAAACAGGAAAGAACTTATAAACAGCGTGCAAGTTAAAGATTAAAATGTTTTGACCGCTTTCTGCACGACTTTTGCTCGATCATCACTGTTCTTCTTTTCTTTTGGTGTATTTTTTGTGAGGTAGCGTGGAAAGTGAGAGGTGGGAGGTTTGGAACTGGGAAGTATTTGGATAAGGGAAGGAATTTATCTAAGTGTTATGCATAAAAGAATTTTTAAAAGAGTTGTAGCAATTAGTAATACTCCCTCTTTTCCAAAATTATTGTCTAATTTAGATTTTATTTTTAGCTCAATTTGTACTAAAATTAAAAATTCAAACTAGATAATAATTTTGAGACAGATGAGCAGTAGATTTATTTTACATGATTTTCAAAAGAAAAGTCCACTCGATCCACATAAATGTTAGACAACATTTTCCCTTACAAACTTTCGGGTTGATGAATTTGTTGAGAGGGTGTGTCTATGGTATTTCTTCCTCTTCTCCTTTCCCCTGTCGTCGTTGTTCTGGTCATCCACCACCTCGTGATCCTCACCACCGTCATCACGTTCTCCTTAGTTTAGTTCTTAAATTCTATGGTAGATTCTTCGTGTGAAAATCCTTATTCAAGTTAAACCTTCGAAACACCCTTTATATTAAGTTACGTATTAAATACTGTGCAAAGATCGAGCCTTATGTGGTAGTGTGGTACATCCTTATAGGAAAGAATAGTCAATTAGAAGAATCCTCTTTTATTCTGTTCTCAGCTTCTTTAATTGATTTGTTTTAATGAAAAAGCATTGGTAATAAAAGAAGTCATGATCTTATCTTTCTGCCACATCAAGGAATGGTGAGGCAACAGTAGAAACAAATGAGTGAAGATAGCCAACAGCTGCTATATATGTTTTAAAACTTAAGTGGTTTAGGAGCTCAGAACCTCCAAAAGGGCATGTTGATCGACATATATAAGGGAGAACTAAGAAAAAATGTGGAACAATTTATGATCGATGTTAGAAATATGGAGAAAGATCATTTTGAGAACAATTTATTCATTAGAATATCTAAGCATTTTTTTTTTTTTTAACAAAGAAGGCAAGTAAAAACTCAAGAGACTAGATTACAATCCATCGCAAATAGGAACACCCATTTTGTCATGTCCACATTAGCTCTTAATAGAATAACTAAGCATTATTAGTTGCTTTAATGTAAATGAAAAGTGAAATGTTTGCATCTCCATGTTTTACTGGAAGAATATCATTACAAAATAAAATCACAAAAATTGTTAAGGTAAAATGTTTATAAAGAGTCTGCCATCCTTTATATTTAATAATGTTGCTGATGTATGGAGTGAACTGTTGGGACTTGGGAGACCTTTGTTCTCTTAAAGCGTTTTTGGTTCTATTCGAAATCAAATAGAAAATCTGAGTAAGAAAAGGTAGCCGCTCTAGCTAGACATCTCATACCATCATTGATGCCAATTCTGCCGGATGATGCTCACTTTTTTGTTTTTCTATGTTGCATACGATGTTCTAAGTACATTGCACTCAGATTATTCCATAACGAGTAGGGTTGGTCTTCTTGCGAAAGAAAAACTCTCTCAACATTACTCTTTCCATTCACGAAACTCGAACCAAATAATGCTCACTTGATTTACTGGATGAAAAAACTCACGGTTTTATTTATCAGATGATCAGGGCCAGCCCACTAGGGGTTCAAACGGTGCTTTGCACCAGGGCCTTCAAGAAAAAAATGCCTATTAATTTTATTAATGTTTTGTTTAAGGTTATATTTAATATATGAGTCCAAATTTTATTTTAATCTAAAGACAAAATGTATAAGCTAAAAATTTATTCTATATCAAAAGTATAGTGAAGTGATTAATAAGTTTTGTAGTCATTTTAATTAAATTCTTTAAATTCGTATTAAAAAATAGACTATATTTAATTTGTTAGGGCGATTTTTATTTATTTGCACTAGGCCCCTAAAATGTTTGGACCGAACCTGCAGATGATGATCACTTGATTTACAGGATAAGAAACTAATGATTTGTTTATTAATAAGTTTTCCCTTTTTGGAAATGCGGTTTAGTCTGGTTATAATACTCTAAGTGGATCTTATAGTGGTCCGATCAAATTTCATCTGAGGTATGTAACGGTAAGTTTCTCACTTTTATTAATAGCCGTACTAGCTGTTCTAAATTTTAATAAATTTTTATTCGCTCTTCTAATATAAGTATATAATCTAATTATTTTTTGGTATATTACGTACTCGGTGTTCGAAGTCATTGCTCCAATTGATTCGAATTCGAGCCGGATAACTCCCTTTCGGAAGGCAAAACTCTCCCGACAAGTATTTTAATCACTGTTGTATGGCAATACCCCGGTCGATGATAGTTAAGCTGGTTTGATACCTTTACTATTTGGACTAAGTACTTTTTGGTACATAACCCAATTCTTTGATCAAGTAGAATAACTTCCCGAAGCTGGTGAGCCAATTAAGGGCGAGTGAGTGATAAGTTGGGCTCAAGAAAACTACGCGATGAAGTTAAGCACTAAGGCTGTCTTCTTCCAAACTTCTCTTTTCGTTTTACTTTTTGTACTTCCAACTCCGAAAGCATCATAAAGTTTTGTAAACAGTAACCAGGACCCAGGAGGTCATAGAGACCCAAAAAAGAGAGAGAGAATCGGGAATTCAAGTAGTAATCACCTAATAAGGCTTCATGCACGATAAATAATCAAAACAAAATTAAATGTTTATAAGTTCATCATTGAGTCTTCTACGCTAGATAAGCACAAGTTCCATCATTCTCTGTGCATATTCTTTCACTTGTACTACCTCCACTTCTTTTTATTTGTCGCATTAGGGTAAAATCAAACTTTCTTTTTCTATCCCAAAATGTATTTAATTTATTTTTTTTAATTTTACGCTTACATCTCTTTAGTTTTAATTGGTCATATAAATAACAACTATCTGTAATTTAATTTGTTGCATATTCTCAATACAATTAATTAGAGATAAAAAGATCAATGCACATAAAATTATATTCTCAAACATCTTTTTTTTAATATGTGTGTTTGTCTAAATGCGACAGATAATATGAGGTGGAGGTAGTACATTAAACCTTCCTTGTCTCCCATCTGATTAGCGTATTCTCAAAGGCACACCTTGCAGCATATATACTTTTTCCTGTGCATTTTGTTCTCGGCATTATACTCGTCGGCTTCCTCTATATATGTTTCTGCAAAGATCCTTCTTGGAAAAGGCTGACCGGTGACCAGTAACAAGCCCAAAGTTCCACAAAGATTGCAATCTCAATACTAAAAGGTTATTATGAACAGGGGCCGGTTTGGAGCTGATTATTTGGCGTCGTTAACCTCGAATATTTGAGTCTTAGTGGCTTCCAAAGGTTGTATATGATCCACCACTAAGGTTGTACATGATCCACCGTTATAGCTGAAACGTTGGTTTCTTTTTCACAAGGTCAGGTGCCGATATCTAGTTTAAAAGCATTTAAATCGATAAGTGTCAAACAATAAATCAAAACAGCAAATGCTTAGAATAATTTATGCGCTTACTGCACCATTTTTGCTCTATAAATCATTAATCTCTGACATAAAAGTTTTATTACTGCAAGAGTTCTATCAACTGCATAATAAATAATCAAAACATATTCGAGTCTACGTATAAACTGATGAGGATTGTGTGCTAGACACAAAACATCAGTTCCATCTTTTTCTTAGTATATTCATCGACTTCGGCGAGCTCATCCATTGCATCCAACCATTGAAACGCTTTGTTAATTGCATCTTCAACCTTCCATTTCTCAGTATAATAAAACGCGGTGTTGTTTCTTAGCTTATCTCTCACCTGAGTAGCATAACTCTCAAAGTCGCACCTTGCTTCATACTTTTTCCTGTGCATTTCGTCCTCCGCGTTATACCTTTTCGCTTCCTGCATCATCATCTCAATCTCAACCCCTGACAATCTTCCACTTGTGATATTGATCCTCTCCTCTTGACCCGTGATTTTATCGCGCGCCAGTACCTTCAGAATGCCATTCGCTTGTAAATCGAAGCAGACCTCGAGTTCCGGGACTCCCCTTGGGGCGACCTGAATTCCGTCTAGCCTAATTTTACCCAACAAGTTGTTGTCGGTTGATCTTGCTCTCTCACCTTCAAACACCCTAAATGTCACCCTAACCTGGTGATCGAAAACCGTAGTATAGGGTTGTGTCACTCTGACAGGAATGGAAGAATTCCTCGGAATCACAACACTCATGACTTCTCCATGTAGTTCGACACCTAGAGATAACGGGTTAACTTCGACGATTTTAAGGTCCTGAACCCACTCGTTACCCTGACTGCTCAACTTTGCGGCCTGAACTGCCGCGCCATAAGCGACGGCCTCATCCGGGTTGATGTTTCTGTAAAGCTCCTTCCCATGAAACAAGTCTTGTAACATCTGCTGAACCTTAGGAATCCTGCTCGAACCGCCTACCATGACAATCTCACCAACCTCGTTTTTGCTCATTCGGGCATCCATCAAACACTTTTCAACCGTCTCCATACACCTGAGAAAGAAATCCGAATTCAACTGTTCGAATTTGGGACGGGTCACAGTTGCCGAAAAATCAATGCCTTCAAATAGGGCATCCACCTCGATTTTCGTCTGAGCAGTGGAGGAAAGGATCCTCTTCGCCCTCTCGCAAGATGTTCTCAATCTCCGGACGGATTTGGGATTTTGGCTGATATCTTTTCCGTGTTTCCTCTTGAACTGGTTAACGAAATGGTTCACCATTCGATTGTCGAAATCCTCCCCTCCGAGGTGAGTATCACCACCGGTTGCCTTAACTTCGATGCTACCATTTCTAATGGTAAGAACCGAGACATCAAAAGTACCACCTCCGAGGTCGAATACAAGAACATTCCTTTTCCACGTGATGCTGGAATGATTGTCTAGGCCGTAAGCAATGGCAGCGGCCGTCGGTTCATTGATAATTCGCAAGACATTGATTCCCGCGATCTTTCCGGCATCTATGGTTGCCTGACGCTGAGCATTGTTAAAATACGCCGGGATTGTTATAACGGCGTCTTTCACCGTTGAACCGACGTATGCGGCCGCAGTCTGTTTCATCTTTGTTAGTACCATTGCCGAAATCTCTTCGGCTGCGAAATGCTTCTCCTCGCCTTTGTAGGAAACAACAATCATCGGCCTGTCATCGGCACCACCGGAAATGACCTTAAATGGCCAGAGTTTCATATCACTTTGAACCAACTGGTCGCTAAATTTCTTGCCAATCAATCTTTTGCATCTGCAATTAAGGGGGAAAACAGAAGTAAGAGAATAGTACAATTACCATTATTCTCTCCAGCAGTGACGGAACCAGCCCCGAACATTCACAAGGTCAATATAACTACAATTTTTTTCCTGAAAAAATATATAAATCAATAATGCTCAATAATGCTCAAGGTCACAAGGACAATCAATAATGCTCAATCAAGTGAATGTAGAGTACTACTAAAATCAAAACTTTTTCCGAAACCTATACAATTACCAAAAAAACTTTTTGTAAAGGAGAAAACCAAATTAAAGAGTAAGCCAGAAGAGAAGCAAAACAGAAAAACCCAAATCAACTTGGTAGATCTGGAATTAAATTATTTACCGAAGACGGTGTTGACCGGATTGAGGCCAACTAGGTTAAAAGCTGCATTTCCAATGAGACGTTCTTCGTTTGTAAAAGCCACATAGGATGGTGTAGTTCTGTTGCCTTGATCATTTGCTATGATTTCAACTCGGTCGTCTTTCCAGTACCCCACGCACGAGTACGTCGTCCCCAGGTCAATTCCTATTGCCGGATTCCACCTGTTATAACCACTCATATTGATAATTTTTCCAACAAAAACTATGAAGTCCTGATATGGTGTGTGACTGTGTGTATATTTATAAGAAACTAGAAAGGTCGTGATAATTACTAAACCGGTTTTTTCGTTTTACGATTGGTATAGATTCTACATTCTGATAGGTACGAAAAAACAACCTTAATTGTTTATTTTGATCAAAGATCACATCTAATTAATTATCCTCACCGCTTATAGGAAGGAAAGTCATTTACGAAGTTAATTAATTAATTTGATCTTCTATTTAAAATTTGAGATTTGACTGCCCCAGTCCAATTTGGTGATGCTTTTTAGTATTGACTGTGAATGGTTTGATTTTGGAATATAAATACTAAATTCATTAAACAGTTACGAAATAATTAATAAACTCATTTTTATTACTTATATATAGTAATGTAATTTCAACACTATTTAGACATTAAGAAATTCATTTTTTGTTATAAAAATCTTAAAATAAAAAATAAAATAAATTATCTCAATTGAATAATTCTAAGTAGTAACAGGATCAAACAGTTCTTTATTGTCAGTGATACAACTGAGTAAAAGTTCTTACGAACCTTTTTCCAAATATAATTTAAAAATTTGTGTATAGCACAAGAGATTTGTGGAGAGAAATTTTAGAAAGAATTTTAACGGGAAATAAATTATAATAATTTATTTTTAACACCTCTCATTTGGAGTTTAAATATTTGAGGTCATGACATAATTTTAATGATTTATATATCACTCCCCGTAAATTTTTTTGTGTAAATTTCCCTACATGTATCACTGCTCACCCAAAAATTGTCATCATCATAACATTATAACAGATCCTGTTTTTCTTTTTTCTTTATTTTTTAAGTGGGGATCACTGAGGTGGATTTTTTTAAAAAAAAAATATGGGGCAGTTTTCTAAAAAATAATAATAATAGATAAAAAGTATTATCAAATAAAACCTCACTGTTACCAAGTATTTGAAGATTGATGGACTAATTTACTCCGTAAAAACTACTCTGTAAAACTTCGCTGTTACCGAATTATTGATCCTAATCTAAAAACAACTAATTTTACCGCCCTAGGTAGGGTTTCAAAATGATCTTTAATCAATTCAAGGGGGAAAACCAAGTGTCTGGACTCTGGACTTTCTCAAAATCTGAGGGTGTGGGTTACTTATAATGATACAAAATAGTCCAGTAAGATAGATATGGTCAAGTTTCCTTTCTACTATTTCTAATCAGATTTAATTCTTCTTCCACCTATAAAAACATCAGTTGTTGTGATACAATGAAAGAAAACCTCTAACTACATCAATGATCAATCCATTATATTACATAGGGAAAAAATATTGAATGTTGATTGAGTTTTGAGTTTTGTACTATTTTTAATACAAATTTGAAAACTCAATATGAACTATTTTTGTGGGACGGAGGCAGTATTATACTTTAATCATGATTTAATTTCTATTGATGAATCTATAAACTGTTAATATCTTCCTGCTTACCTTTGCCAAAGATGTCAAATAATTTGCCAAAAAATTACATTAACGATATTCAATATGCATGGACCATGGTCAAGCTCCCCCCACCCTCCCCAGAAACCTTAATAGTCAATACCCTTCACCAAACCATGTATAGCTACATCTTCCTCCAACTTCGGCAAGGCCACCACCCCCATAATATCACCATTAATTTCCTTCCTCGTTTTCACTTACATTAATATCATTAATAGTTTTTCCGGTACTTGTTCTCTAGTAAAATAATATCTTAGATTTGTATTTAAATGACCATTTATATACTTCTTGATGAACATAATTAACTACCATGACATGGGGTACAGACTTAGTATTATACTCTCTCCGTCCCATAATTATTATCCACTTTGTCCAAAAAATTTTGTCCCAAAATTATTTCCAATTTGACTTTTTATGGATCAAATTACACATTTGTCCTTAGTAAAAAAACATTATACATAAAATTTTAGTAGTTAAACAATTACTTATGTATGGGTATATCCGGTTGTTTAAGGCAAAATATAGTTAAATTTGAACAAAAGTAAAATCTTTTATTTTAGTAAAACTAGACAAGAATTATGGGACGGAGGGAGTATTTTTTTAATAAAACAGAAATTTCCAAAAGTAATAAGATGTACATAGATCGAAGAAAATAAAGCCAGAAGAAGTAACGCAATGCATCGACATGGATGAACATGGTCCAACGGTTGAACAGTCTAGCTAGAAAAGCAATTCTCAACCAAATCACCAACAGGACAAAATCAATCTAGCTAGACTGTACGTCATAATTAACTTCATGATCCATCCCTACCATCATAATCTAACTAACTAATAATACAACGAGTCAATTCATCAAAATATTACAACGTTAATTAATCTTACATCATCAACTTATATGACATTAATCATCATCATGATCCACGCAATCCCATGCACTACACTTTTCTTTCTTCCACCTCTTTCATGCATGATTTTACGCGATGTAGTAAACCAGATATAGAGATCCAAGAAATTGACACACACGGGTTCTGTTCAACTAAGCCCACCAAGATAGGAGAGCGATAAAGGTGGTGAAGGAGCATAACAACAAGGTTGTTGGGCTCATGTTGTTGTCCTTCATTAGGAATGAAAATCCACCATCGTTACCCATACTGTCTGTGCTCATCCCATTTCCAGGTGGGCCCAACCCGTTGTTGATTCCTCCTCCAATGCCACCAGAACCCGTCGGAGTCGTAATCATCGGGTTAGTTCCGGTAGTTGTCGGCCCATTCACGGTTGTAGTTCCGGTAGTTGGATTGTTGGTCGTAGTAGCACTGCTTCATACATATTAAATGAGTTATTATCAGGTTAATCTCGAAAAAGGCGTGTAAATTTTCTAGGAAAGTAATAAAATATGATTTTATTGGGAAAGCCAAACGAACAGAACAAAAAAACCCGTACAATTCAAGGTCCCGACCAACATCTGTGTTTTTTTTTTAATTTTTTTTGGGCATAAAAAACACACAGAAAAAACATTGATAGAAAAATAATTTACTGCACGGGAATCAAGAAAACATTGGCCATTAAAACTGAAGGAAATGCCAAAAAAAAAAAAAAAAAATCCTCCAGAAATCTAATCTAATGGCTCTATGTGTGACATAAATTCTAGCGCCAGCAGAGATTGGTAATGCTGTCGGCGTCTGCTTCTTTCAGTAAGGTACAAATATTTTTAAAATTTTATCTCTGGAATTTCTCTCTTTTGTTCTTTTCTTTCCTTCCATCCCATATGTGGAAAAAAATCACACTCAACAAATTGAATCCTTTTGTAGATGGAAATATCACCCAAAATAGTTAATTAATCGGAAAAAAAAAACAATTTACTTTATTGTATTTTCTTTCTTTCATTTCATGGAAAAAATAACCAAAGAGATTATTAGTACAAAAAACAACCAATCAACAATTTTCACAACCTAATTTCGTATCATTTTCCTCAACTATTCAATTATGTCTCACTTTTTACTATTACATGATAGGAATTAATGAAATGGTAAATTAATTCTCCTCCCTATTCTGTTCATTGGTCAAACAAAAGAAGTCTGGTAAAGAAAAATCTACAGGAGGCAAAGCAATAATTGGGAAGTATGGTAAGAGACATCATGATGCAAACTACAAGTCATGAGTCAAATTCAGCATCACAAAAGGAAGGCATTACACACAGAAAGGACAAAAAAAGAGGTGAAAAGGTATATATATAGTCAGTGCTTTGGAGACTATGATTACTTCTTTTAACATGCAGATAAAAAAGGACTCAATTAATTAACACTTAAAATGATGACCAAGTTTAAGATCAACAATAAACTAATCAACCAGAGCCAACCTCCACAAATCCCCCTACTAATATTTTTGTATTTGAGGTCACAATTCCAGCTTTAAAATATTTAACAAAATAAAAAAGGAGATGCCATTTTCCACTAAAGCATTTAAAAGAAAAAAGGAAATGATGATGAAGAATAAATTCTTATTCCTATTCTTAGCTAGCCAGAATGTTTTTTTGCCAAAACTACAAAAATAATTTACAAAATATATGAAAGATTTTGAAGAATAAAATAAAGGGTAAAGAGATATGTAATGTGTGAACTAGAGAAGAGGGATGAGGTAAAGTTCTTGGGGGCTCAAAAACTTGTTTCTGGATAAATGTGGAAGCATGGCCACTTTGTTTTAACTTTATCGGAATGATGAATTACTTTTGAAAATCCCCTGCCCCTATTTTTCTGTATCAAAATTATACCTATACCCAAGAAATTACCCCTAAAAATTTGAATTCCAAACAATATAAAGAATTTCAAATGTAAAAATTTCTGCAGCTTTAACAAGAAAGGTTTGGTGCTTATTTGGACGTAAACTTACATATCATTTTACTATTTAAACGTAGAAAGTGTTTCAAATTGAAAACTAAATGGAAAATAAAAATATTGTTTTGAATATTGGTTTTAAAAAAAAGTATTTTAAACTACATTTTGAAATATCAAATACAAGTCATCACTAAATAATTAAATACTATCAATTATAGTTACTGTAAAAATAAACTTTTTCAAAAATAATCACTCAACGGAATCCTACCAAATTTATCACTAAACTGTTTGTAGTTCTAAAATGGTCATTACACTAATAAAAAGTGTTTCAAATTAGAATTTAAAATGTAAATCAGAAAATTATTTGAATAATGTTTTCTTTTTTTATTGAGTTTTGTGTTTAAGAGATAAAATGAGTGAAAATGTAAAATGAACTATTGTCCAAACAAGGCCTTACTCTCTTGACCAAATGGAGGAGAGGACCATAACATAGAGGATCTAATGACGTATAGACACATGAAAAGCACAAGTCTATAAGTAAAATTAAGATTAAAATTTTTTAGCTAGATTCTCAAACCATAAACTATATTCAGCAGTGGGTTGGGAATATTCTTCAAAAAAATTTTAGCTTAAAAAAAAAAAAAATTTGTTCCGTCATAAGGTAAAGTTATGAGAGATTTTTCTAGTTTTCATATGGTCTTTCAGACAATTTCACCAAAACAAATGGAGCACAGAATTGGCCCTATTGGAGGACAATAGTACTCAGACTACTTCAGAGCTCAATGTAATGTCACATTCACACGAAGTGGGTCATTACCCCAAAATGCACAAAATGTGCTAATTTCAACAACAACATCATCCTGAGTAAAAAAAGAAAAGAAAGCCTTTGAATTCAATTCAAGCAGACAATAATTTCAGTAGGAGTACGATAGGGTAAATAAATGCAGCAAAATTAAATGTTATTATAAAAACCGTACCTTGCACTAGCAGGATAAACACAGCCAGCAGAGCCTGTAAATTAAAACAAAAAACTTTTAACCATAATGCCAAAAAAAAAAAAAAAAAAACCCATCACTTTATTTTTCCTAATAATGGGTTAAAAAAGAAGAAGAAGAAGAAAGATGAAGAAAACTGACTGGGATCGTTGTTGACGACGCTGGCGGTGCCGGTGAAATCACAGGAGCCCTGAGCTTGGCCTTTATGCTGGAAATAACTGTTGACGGCATAATTACAGTGAGCTCTGACGGTGTTCGGGTTGAAGCAAGGCCCGCTCTGGTGGGTCGGGTTGCAATCTGCCCCTGCTCCACATGCGAAATCCAGTGTTTTCTGCAACACTGCATCAGGCAGGTCCTTGCACATGCACCATGAAGCTCCACCTAAAATCCCCACCAAAAATCAAAACCCAAATAAAAAAAGAGTCAATTTTTTCTTCCTGAAAAAGATGGTCGCAAATGAACAAATGCTGCCCAAATTTTTAGAAGGAAATGTTCATTAAAAAAAAAAGAAAACAGAGTGCTAAAACAGGGGAAGAATGATGTGTTAAAAGTAACAAAACACAGAGGGGATTCATAGATGTTTAATATATATATATATATAGATGTTTAAATACAAGAAGAAAGTAGTAGTGACAAAGTATGGAATCAATCATATCTATCTTATGGGAGATTTTGCAGCTTTATGGTGAAAAGAATCGCAAAAGAATTAAACCTGAGTTAGCTTTTAAGTCAGGAAAAAAGGAGGGGGGGGGGGCTTACTTGAGTGACCAGCCATGGCCACAATAAGCAGCATCACTACCATCAAATGAGAAGAAGCCATGGAAGTTTAAACAGAGTACTATTTCCAGAACAAAGAAGAAGCTGCGTAATAATTTTTTTGGATATGAAGAACAGAGAAGAAAGAAGAGGTGGTGAGAGTGGAGAGTGGAACTGAGAGAGTGAGAGAAAGAGAGTGGTCAAAAAGTTTGTGTGAATTTGTGTTTGGGAGTGAGATTAAAGGGTGCGAGTGGAAAAATGGATTGGTGTTTTTTTTTTTTTTTTTTGCTTTGGGGTGTGGTTGAAAATGTTAAAAAAAATTTAAATATAAAAAAAAATATGTCGAAAAGAAAAATGTAGAATTTATTGTACTTTTGAAAATAAAAAATGGAAAAAACCTGTACCAAAATGTGGATTCCAAACAAAAAAAATTTACTCTATTGGTAACTCAACTTGCCCTATTTTCCCTATTTTATCAAGAATAATGTAATTTGGTTGGGAATTTTGCCTAATGTTTTTTCACAAAAGAAATATACACGTGAGGAAATTTTGGATAAAATGTAGTAATTACAAAATGCTATTACTCACTCCATTTCAAAATGTAGGTCGTTTTAGGTTTGGAGAAATATTTTAAAATGAATGTCGTTTTAGGATTTCAAATCAAATTAAAAATTAAAATTTCCAACTTTGCCCTCAATAAATGACGTTAACCACTTTTTATTTAGTCTTGGTTATAGTTCCAAAATATTAATGATGAATAAAATACACCCTCTGTCTCAAAATTATTTCCAGTTGAAATTTCACTTTTAGTACAATTTGAACTAGAGATAAAAATTCAAACTGGACAATTATTATAGGACGGAGGGAGTAGATATTTAACACCCAAATTAATTATTGAATGATTATCTTTTTAGTTTACGTGCAGAGTGTAAAGTAACCTATATTTTGAAACGGAGGGAGTATACTTGAATAAAAAGTATTTACCCCATTTTATCTTCTTCTTCTTTTTCTTTTTCTTTTTTTTTTTGTAAGAAAATATTTCTATTACGAGTAGTAAAAAACAACAGAATTGATACAAACGAAATCTCAGCATTCAGGAACAGGAAGGACTAGGGTGGTGGGGAGCTGAGCTGCCAGTGAAATGATCTGGAAATGGGCCCAATCTAGTGTCGGTCCACTTTTTTTTGTTCCTCATTTGGGCTCTTGCTATAACGGTTATAATTTTGCTGGTTTGAAATATATTTATTGAACTCGAGATTTGTAAAAAAAACAATACAAATTTCATAATTTGTTAACTTTTTTTTGAAATAAAAATATTATATTATTTTCTCTAATTCAAAAAAAGATTTCACATTGAATTATATTACAAATTTTCAAATTCACTATGAAATAATTTTTTTTTAAGTGGGAGAATAGTAGTGATGCAACAAATAAATAAAAATTTATGAAAATAGGTTATCAATAAATCACATACATAATAGTGTGTGTATTTGGGTGATCCGCGAGAGTAAAGCATATTTATGAGGAATTGAATTTGGCTACTTGCTAATATTTCGAGAGGATTGCATTCTTTGGATGTATCAATAGTTGTTTAGCCACTCTGAGAATAAGTATTATTGATGTTTCTTATCTAAGGTCTAAGTTGGATAATAATATACATTTGTATTATACATAAGATGTATAACACAAAAAATATTACAATACTTATGTTGTGAAAATAGATTATCAATAAATCACACGAATGATAATGTATACTTAAGTAAGTAAGTGGTATGGCTATCAACAAACCAAATACTTCTCGAACAGTTTATGGATAATTTGGTCAAAGTTTGACTTAAATTCAGTTTTAACATAATCCGAATCAAATTTGAATGCTTCGATTAGAGAGAGGAACCAAACACGAATATCAAAATACTTTATTCGAAAGCTCATCAAGCCTATTCGAGTTTATTATAAATTATTTTATTTTTATTCAGAATAACATAATTCTTAAAAATTCTTATTCTTCTCTTCTGTCATTTATTTATCTTTATCGTATTTTGATCCATGAGCTCAAATTTTATGATTTGTCAAGTAACTTTGTTTGTAGGGCGCATAGATTGAATTGAAAACGACATACATTGAAATTTAATTCAAGTTCAATATTCTTGAATATTCGAACTTAATCTTTATCGAACGCTAACACTAGAGCCGATTGAACCGAGCACAAGTTATTCCTTTTTATTTCGAGGGCAAACTTCAATTTAGATACTCGATTAAGTTCAAACTCGAATACGAGCTTCAAATATTTTGTCGAACTCAGCCTTGAGCACTTAACTATTTGGGCTTAACTCGGTTTGTTGACAGCTTTAGTAAGTGGTGAAAATGGAACACGGTCATAGGGAATTGAATATTGATGAGCCGTGAACGCTACCAATTCAGAGAATTGTGAAATTTTGATATACCATTATATGTTGTACTCTCGTCACTGGTGGATCCAGGGTGGGGGCCATGGCTCCTGCTGGGCCCATCTTGAACCAATATATAAATATTTTTTTTGTTGATTTTTTCCTCACGTTAAACCTTATTGTTATGATGTTTTTCTTTGTTTCTATTAATTGTTTTTCCTGGAGATCACGAAACTATCTCCTAATTTAAGTGAAACTTTTTTTTGAGAATTGAATATTCAGTTTTTCATAACTCACGAAAGAATAGTTTCTCTACCCTTTTTCCCTGAAAAGAACTATCACCGAAAATAATACAATCAAACTAGTCCCTTTCTACATACTATATTTTGTTTATATTTTAGTTTTCTAATATTGAGTTAGGTGTAATCTCTCTTTTGATAATAAAATTTGTATAATTGTATTTATCATGTTTGAAAACTTTTATTTGACTCCTTGGTTCAATATTATTATTCTATGCAATATGTCTACAAATTTTAAGATTTTGATTATTTTAAATGTAAATTTGTTTTTGGTATTTTGTTTCCATACTTAGAAATAATTATATGAGAAAGACAATGAGAATACTTTTGGAAATGGTTTTAAAATATTATAAAAAATGGCGACAACTCATTAGGAGCATATCTAAAATTTTTAATAATGTTAAAACAATCATCATAAAGTTTAGTTTTATTTTTGTTTTTTGCTTGACATGATATTGAATTAAAATGTTGCCATAAACCATATTCTTTCCGTTCTAAGATAATCATTATATGTGAAAATCATTATAATACTAAGAAAATATATTTTTTTTACTTTGGAATTTTTATATTATTGTGGCTCCCTATGCATTTTCATCCTAGCTAGATCTGCTCTTGCTCTTGTGGAAGTAGTTTATAAGACCTAATGAAATACTAATGTGATTGGTGTTTTTTACCTACAATCGGTAATATAGTACATTTTTAAACTTATGCCTCCTTCGTTGTAAAAAATAAAAAATAAAAGTATTGCCCTTTTCTTGACCATTATAAGTACTAGGTGTTAGACCCGTCCGATGGACGGGGAAGGCATACACATTTAGACATTTTTACATAAATTTTGTATTTTTATAAAATATGTAATGACTTTCAGTTTTAAATATGATTGCCTCTGAATTTACAGGAATTTGTTTTTTTTAAATGACATTTTAAATTCACTGGTGATAAGGTTGATCCAGATCTCTCTAAAATTTGTTAAGATTTGGTACTCTCTTCAATCAATCTTTGTGTTAGGATTTGGTTCATGAAAATAAGGGTTTGGTTTTTATTATTTTGCTTTTTTTAAAAAAATTATTTTAGTTACTTTTTTTTAGTTTTATTATTTTGTTTTGTGCATTTTTAAGTCTAAGAAATTAAGAAAATGCCACATAGGATTAAATTCTATGTGGCATGTGCTCCATGCTTTTAGTTTTCTCTCTCTGGTTTTTGCCTTAGTATAGTATATAATATATATAGATTTTTTGGGAGAAAAAAAAAACTCTAATTATCTGGTAATCTTATCAGAAGGCGTGATTTAGCTCACGAAGGCGCGGAACCCTAACATTCTCAGTCCCGGGTCGGCGGTCCGTTTCTTTGCCGACTCAATTGGCCGCCTCGTAGAAGCAGCAGCGACCAGCAGCTGCAAAACCGGCAAAATTTGAACAGACAGCATCGGAAAAACGAAGAAACAGAGAAGAAGATGTTGCTTCAACTCCCTCGATTAACGAATGCCCTTCGCGATCCTTTCGACGTCGATCAAGCCTATCTACATCGCAAGACCATCCTCCAAAGCCTCAACCGGTACTCCTCATCAACTCGTAATTCGATTTTAATTTATTCCCCTTCTTATTGTAAACCCTAAGTTTGATTCAATTGTTCTTCTGTGCTCGCTTTTCTTCGGTAGTTCTGCAAATTCAGTTCAGGAGTCCAGACTCGCGCGGAAAATCGTGTATAATTGGGATGAAGGTACTTTACGCTTCTCCAGTGCAATCAGTAGAGTTTTATTAATTTCTGATTTTATTTGAAAAAAATTTATCGCAACGTATGATGTCAATGTTTTGGCAGCGAGTACGGAAGTGCGGCAAGTTTACAAGGAATTTATTGGTGCCCTGAGGGAGCTTGTGAGTGATGAGGTGGTTTCAGAGGAGTTTGAAGAGGTGGCATTGAGTGTTTACCGGATTTTTGTCGGCCAATTGGCGGAGGATGAAGACGGAGGAGATAAACGAATTGCTGAAAAGAAGTAATATTCTATCTATTTTATCACCCCACGGTTGTTGATAGTTGTTGATTCTAAGTTGTTCATAATTAGGAACGATCTGCATCTCTCTTTTCCCCCCTTCTTACTTCTTTGCCATTTAGTATACTTTATGTAGTGGAGATGCTGGCTCTCATGCATTTGCGCTAATGTTCATGTCGCATTCTCAAGATAACTCTCTGCACCCTTGGGGTTGCTGTAGTAATGTGTAATATAAATGGATTTTAACACAGACAGAATTTGTTGAATGTAACTGCTGACTGTTTTCGGCCGAGATAGAGGAAAACTTCTTTTTCCTTAATGTAATTTGATTTAGTCAGAAAGACTTGTTTATGATGATACAGTTTGTTTGATTCATGATTTTATGAAAATCAAAGATTCCAGTTGGAAGGAAAGTATGAAACAGGTTATCCTTTGGGAGAATGTAATGGCCATTGTTCACTTTGTTTGGTTCATGATTTTATGAAAATTAAAAGATTCTAGTCGCGATGCTGATTGCAATAGATTGTAAAAGAACCTACTCAAACAGAATTGAATGGTCTAAAAAGCAAGCTTTATCAATGATCTATTTTTGTTTCGGTGAACTTTCGAAGATCTACTTTTCTTGTAAATGGTTATAAATATAACTGGATTCATGAATGGCTATTTTTGAATTCTGGATGAAAATAGTTAGTCCTTCAATTGTCATAGTTATTTAGATTGAATGCCTTTTGTTCTCATTGTAGATTACAGTTGCAAAAACTAGTTGGCCACGAAATTCCCATCCTGAATATACAAAAAGTAGCCTCTGCAGTGAAGAAGCTTTTGGCATTGCAAAACAATGATGAAGGAACTGTTTTGATGCCACGTCTACAAGATGAAGATGAACAAAACGATGATGTTGAATTTGGTGCTGATCTCTTTTTTCAACCTCCGGCACGGTTTATGGTTGATGCTATCTTAGAGGAGGATGATCTGTTTGTTGATGTAAATAGTACACATGAAGGTGTGTGGTATGAGAACTCTGACATAAAAGATTATCATGCTTCCACTAGTGGGGGTAGTTTTGACCTGGAGTGGTTAAGAGATGCTTGCAATAAGATAGTCAAAGATAGTACTTCTCAGCTACCTCAAGATGAACTGGCAATGGCCATTTGCCGGGTACTTATTTCAGGAAAACCTGGTGATGAGGTGCGTGGGTGTTTACAAATCTTCATTTCTGTTTACTACGGCTGTCTTTCAATTCTTGAACGTTATTTGTTGCATCCAAGTTGTTTGATATGTGAATTTTTCAGATAGCTGGTGATTTACTGGATCTTGTGGGTGATGGGGCATTTGAATTTGTTCAAGATCTCATTGCAGTAAGATTGCGATCTCCACGTCTTCTTCCTTTAGTTTCTTTGCTTATGAATTGTGGGTTGTTTTATGCATGCTATTTTTATTTTTTAACATTAGTTCAATTTCAAAAAAAAAATATAGCGGTATTATTTCACTTTTTAGACATTGAGAAAATTAATTTGTATAATCGAGTTCTCTATGAAAATTAAACCGTTTTGAGGACATTCTATCCATTTGATCCATTATTTTGGTAAGGTTAAACGGATTTGAACCAATGAGGATGGAGAATCTCCTCTGTATGTGATGAATTTATGCATATGTTTACTTCAAAAAGCCTCTAAAGAAGTTAGTATTCTGGGATTGTCACTGTAGTTGTAGTTTTGGGAAAGGTTTTGGAGCATATCAATCAATAAATTTAAGACAAATAGAGGTTAATGATTTACTGATTTAGAATGGTCCTAAATCAGAGGTGGTAGGCCTGATAACCATAGAGGTTGGTTTAGGTTTTTAGTTTCTGGTAGCTTGAGATCAAAGATGTACCTAGAAAAAGTAGTCAGAGCAAGACATTGCTTGTCAGGATAGGATCAGTGGGAAAAGAGAAGGAAGAAAGCAGAGACGGAACAGGAAATAGAAAGGCTCGAAGAAAGAATGATTTGAAAATTGATCAGAGTACAAGATTATGATTATTCTGGCGTTTTTACCGATAGGATAATATTGGCACTATCCATTTATTGTAGCCTGTCAAATTGGTGATCTAAATGCCTGCTCTACACCCAAAGGTCTCATTTGAACTAGGCGCTTTGCCCTAGCCTACCTAGTAAAATCTTTATAGAACGAATCGGATAGGGGACCTCCCGTCTCCTTACAGTTGACTTCTGAAAAGGAAAGGAGCTTCCATCTGTTCTAATGTGCTCTGCATTAAGTAAACAATTAGCCAGGGGAAACCTCCTTTGCACCTTACTCAGAGGCTTGCTTTCAGTGATTGTCGTTCGAAGTCATATATTAGTTTTCATTTCCTTTCTTAGTTCGGGGATCAACGTAGTAAACTTCTTGAGTGTAAAATTCAGCTAGAAATTTACAGATACTCACCTACATGGCATGGCATTATTGAGTGTGTCTGCTTGATTGGTATCTGATATAGATACAATTCCATCCTTCTTTTCTAGCTGGGTTTCGATTTGGTATTGTTTTTTCTCCTTTCTGTTTAAACTCTATTATGTTTTCAGCATAGGAAGGATCTGGTCGATTCTATTCAACATGGGCTGTTTTTACTGAAATCTGACAAGAGTGGTTCCAGTTCTCAGCCACGAATGCCTAGCTATGGCACTCAGGTTATTGTGGAACTGACTATCATTTTTTGTTAATTTTTTCCCTGTGCTTGTTGGTGTGTAATTTCCAATTTGTTCCATTCTGGGTTCTTCTAGGTCACAGTCCAAACAGAATCTAAAAGGCAACTTGATAAACTCCGTCGGAAGGAAGAAAAGAAACACAGACATGGAACAGAAAATGGAGTTGACAGTGATTTGTCTGCATTAAGTTTTGGCTCTTTACTGCAAGCAAGTGAAAAGAAAGGCTTATTTGATGATTTCATTGGGCGAGGTGATGCTAATCAACAACTTGTTACTGCCCTTCCTCAAGGAACTGTCAGGAAGCATTATGAAGGATATGAAGAAGTCATTATTCCACCGAAGCCAACTGCACCGCTGAAACCAGGAGAGAAATTGGTATGTTCTTTGTTTTCTGGTGTATTTTTTCCTTACAGAAGTAATAATCTATGTAAGACTCACACCTCTATGTTTTACATAATGCAAAGTTGACGCGGACATATTAAATTTGCTAAAAGTTCATTGCAAAATTGAAGTAGACATCTGAATTGATATAGTGCTATTACATTTTAAAAATTAATTTGACTGGAATGACCTTTGTTTGCTCATAACTAGGTCATCAGTAGTGTTTTCTTTTTTATAAAAAATGTTTAGTACTATTTATGAATTAATCGAATAATTTCGAAGTTCTTCCTAAACTAAAACCTCAATATTGAGTTTTTATAGTATGGGTGTCTTCTACCTTACATAAGCTGACAAGACTTTGGGAAGGGGGCCAAACTTCTTTCTTGTAGTGAATTTCTGTAGTACTAATTTGCTTTTTCGGAGTAGAAGGTACCTTTATACACTCATGCATTAGTATTATATTTTTATAAAGCATGCTTAGGGTTATTACTGGCACCTGATCTTCTTGTTACACTTTTTTTTGGATATTGCATCTTGTCAGATTGAAATAAAGGAGTTAGATGACTTCGCGCAAGCTGCTTTTCATGGCTACAAGTCCTTAAACCGTATCCAGAGTAGGATATATGAAACAACATACCATACAAATGAGAACATCCTTGTAAGTGGCATTTATGCTTCTCAGTATTTTGTGGGGAGAAATGGAGCTATTAAATACAGAGTGTTTTTCATCTACTTGCAGGTCTGCGCACCAACTGGCGCTGGGAAAACAAATATAGCTATGATTTCCATTTTACACGAGGTAAGAAGGATCCATTGCATTTATTTATTTATTTTTGTGGGATGAAAATTGATAGTTTCTAGGGACATCCGTAGAGTTGGTCCTTCTATATTGACTTGTAGAGTGCTTTTTTCCCGAGGTTTTACATTGTTAATTTGTCCTTTTCCTGTCCTGAATATTGGATTTATTATTGGTCATTTTTTTAAAGTCAGCTGCTGGAGGATTTCAATGCTTTAATTTGCAAATTTTGGTTGTATGGAAGTGTCTATTTGTAGAACCTTTGCCGGTAGTAGTAGTTTTGGGTTTGTAGTCGTGAGTGAAAGTGGATTTCAGGATTTGATGTTGTTTTGCTGTCCAATGGTTGGCCCAAAACCCCATGTTCATTAGACCGTGCATTGAATAAGGAGATTTGACACAGTACTAGGAAATGAAGATTTTGATGATATCATGCTAACTGTGAAGGATGTCTGACCTGACATTACAGTGAAAAATGTGAGATCATAATGGTCCTATGTTTCTTCTTTGATAGATGTTTGAATATTCGATTTTCCAATATGCTTCTTATCATCATGATGCACTTGTATTTGTGGTTTTTTTGCGGATCAATCAGTGACAATAAAACTATCTGGAACGATCCCTAGGTTATGACCTTTAGCATACTTCCGTTTACTAATGATTACTCCCTCCATTTCAACTTCAAAATATAAGTCGTTAAAGACTTGGAGAAATTTTTCAAAATATAAGTTGTTTTAGCATTTCAAGGCAAATTAATGACTAAGTTTCCAACTTTACCCTCAATAAATGCCGTCAACCCCTTTTTATTTAGTCTTGTTGATAATTTCAAAACATTTAATAGGGGTATAAAAGATATTTGACATAGAAATTAATTGTTGAATGATTGTCTCCTTAGTTTACGAGCAAAGTCTAAAGTGACTTATATTTTGAAATGGAGGGAGTAGTTTTTATGCTGTTGATTAATGAATGACCTATTCTGCAGGTTAAGCATCATTTCAAAGATGGTTACCTGCATAAAGATGAGTTCAAGATAGTCTATGTTGCTCCTATGAAGGTAGAGTTTATCCTTGTTTATTTAAATTCTTGTTCAGGCCTTGCTCATATTGTATTCTGCTATATTCAGGCCTTAGCTGCTGAGGTTACTGCAACTTTCAGCAAGAGATTGGGTCCATTGAACATTGCTGTGAGAGAACTTACTGGAGATATGCAACTTACCAAGAATGAACTTGAAGCAACACAGGTTGTTTCCCTTTAATATCTCGTAACTGCTCCTGTTGTTGTTGTTGGTTTTTTTTTTTTTTTTGGTGTGTGTGTTTCTGTTTTATAGCATGTCTTATCTATGCATATGATGCTTCCGTACCTGTGTGAAGTGGAGGTTGATGCTGTTTGTGGTCGAAGTATCTTATTACTTTTACTTTTGATACCTCTTTATTAGATGATAGTGACGACGCCAGAGAAGTGGGACGTTATTACACGCAAAAGCAGTGACATGTCACTCTCCATGCTTGTGAAGCTCCTTATCATTGATGAAGTGCATCTGCTGAATGATGACAGGGGCCCTGTGATAGAGGCATTGGTGGCTCGAACTCTTCGCCAGGTCAGGCGGCTTTTATTTCACCTAATGTTTTGTCTTTAGGCACCTCATCATATTTATCTTCATCCTGTTATGGTCTCTAAGAGCTGGACCTTTTACATGAGAATCATACATCGAGAGTAGAAGTGCAGGTTCTCCTGTAGTGGTATTCCAGGGTACATGAGACAAGCAGGGGGAATCATGAGCCGCACTTCATACTATGTCAAGGGACAAAAAAGGGGGGGGGGGGAGAAAAAATGATGTCATTAGTGAAAGGATTAAAGTGTTTTAAGGTGTCTACAAATGTATCCACATTGGTTGAAGAAAGACTTAGATAAGATGCTTAAATTTATTATTTGATAAGTGCTTCAGAGGTTTAAAAATAAAGTTTGTAATTGTGAATCTTTTTCTTTTAAAAGATTTTGTGTGAACAAAAAGGATTTAGCTTTAGTGTAAGATCCTACAAGAGTTGGGCAATGAGTTTAAAAGATTGTGTGAAAAAAAGGGTTTATCTTTAGTGTAAGGTCCTACAAGAGTTGGGGCAATGAGCCAAAATTCAATACAACGCTTGAGTTAGAACAATCTTTAGGAAACTATATCTAAGCGTGCTGTCTGGTACCTTTTGACAGGTAGAGTCTACACAGAGCATGATCCGGATTGTGGGACTCTCAGCTACTTTACCAAACTATTTACAGGTCCGACTTGGAAATTTTATCGGCATTCATTTGTAGAAATGTATCGTATACTTCATGTGTTTATGTGCTCTCTTTTTTTAAATCATTTGCTTTTGCTTTGGTTGGAATCTAGGTTGCACAGTTTCTGAGGGTCAATACAGATACAGGTCTGTTCTTCTTTGATGCTAGCTATCGTCCAGTACCTCTCGCCCAGCAGTATATTGGTGTTAGTGAGAGGAACTATAAAGTTCGGATGGACCTGCAGAATCAGATATGTTATAATAAGGTGCTTTTCATTTGAGCTCCCTCATTTCAGTTCTATTCCTTGTTCGTGAACTAAGTGCTTGGTCCACCAGGTTGTTGATTCGCTAAGGCATGGTCATCAAGCAATGGTTTTTGTTCATTCTCGAAAGGACACTGTGAAAACTGCTGAAATGCTGGTAATTAATTGTACTTGTTTTACTGTGTCCATAAGTTCCTCTTTTTGCCTGCATTAGTTGGATTAATTAGTACCCCCTCTGTCTCAAAAAAATAGTCCACAAGTACAAAATATTGGTAACAAGAGCAGTGAGTAGCTTTTTTTATTTTTGAGACAACATCAGAGGGAGTAGTCAAAAATATTAGTTTGAATAATGTCACTTCTTAACTAAATATTAGTTTGCATTTTGTTATTTTCACAAATGCAGTGAGTACTCTTCTTCAGTTGTCTGCTTATTTAAAAGGTTACTCCTTTAGTTGAATGATATTTGAGAATTTAATGTTTATGTTGGAGCCAGATGAAACCTATATATCATTCAATGGATTGAAAAGTCAAGTTTATAAATTCTCTACTCAAGAGTGTAAGTTGGACAAAGTGATGCTAACTTAAAGGCCTCGAATACTAAAATTGTGACTTAAGTTTCTTGTTGGATAGATTTTGTAATAAAAATTGTGTGATTATTATCTTGAAAAACAGTCTCTTTTGCGATCAAATTAACTCTGAGCCTCAGAGAATATCTGCTGCTAGTGATGTATTGTGCGAGTGATGCATTCCAGAGATTGGGTGGCATTTGATAGAACAAAAACTCACCATATGATCTTGATTTTCTTGGAATGAGTAATATGGTATGTAAATGTTACATGTGAAATGTTTATTAGCTTTGAAATGTAAATAACTTTCTCTTTTTGAGCTCATTTGGGGGGGGAACTCAGTAGGTGTTGAAGATTTTTTATTTACCATTCTCGTTGGATTTGTTTACTTTTAGATTTGATAAACTCTGAAAATCAATCATTGGAAGAGATTTATGACCAAGAGTTTTCTTCAAAGATGTTAAGTGCATGCTACTTAGGTGCTGAATCATTTTTTAATCCTTACAAATTAACCTTTCCTTTTTACTGAAGACTCTTATGATTAAGATTAGTCAGGCAATCATTGTTTGGTAAGGTTTATTATTCTATTCGTTGATTGATATTATGACTAACATAAATCTTTGACTGGTTATACAGGTTGAACTGGCTGAAAAACACGAAGGTTTGGAAATTTTCAGTGTTGATGGCTCGCATCCACAGTTTGAATTCAAGAAGGCAAGAAAGTTAATTCTTTCCTAATTCTTGGTGTACTATATTCAGGTATATCGTAGTCACTGAATCTATATGATGCAGAAAGAAGTAATGAAGTCCCGAAATAAGGAGGTGGTCAAGCTTTTTGATTATGGAATTGGAATCCATCATGCTGGGATGTTACGTGCCGATAGGAGCTTGACTGAGCGACTTTTCTCAGATGGACTTTTAAAGGTAAGTTGTTCAGCTATAATTCTAGCTTTCTAACCCAATTTTTCCTATGGACAACGTTTTTCTTTTTAATTTATTGTAAAATGGTTTATCTCCACCCTTTTGTTGTAACTACTTTCAGGTACTCGTGTGCACTGCAACGCTGGCATGGGGAGTAAATCTGCCTGCTCACACTGTGGTGATCAAGGTTTGTGCAGATTAGAAGTTTTATTTTATTGGCTGAGCAGTGTACATTTCTTATTTCAAAAATCCCAAGTCTAAGAAATGAAACCAATTGAGCATTTGGAAGGAAGTGGTTGCACCTGTGGTGTGGTGCATATAACTTTGCCCTATTCGCAAACTATATTTTTGAAATGTGCATCAAATTTTACCTTTAATATATTTAGATTGTTTAATTTTGCTTCCAAAAGCTATACTTGGTTAGTCAGTTTGTTAATTACCTTGTAATAGTGCTGCTTTGCAAATTTCAAGCTGGAGCAGAAAATTGGAATCACATTTTTCTTTTCTCACAAAGGCAATAAGGCCGTCCGTCCTTCAGTTTGGAGTCATAATCTTAAAGTTTCCCTCTTTTTATTGAAGTGAATGTAACTTAAAAGTCTTAAACAGCTTTTTTGATCTGCAAGCCTTTTTTTGGAATAACTTAATGCAATCTTCTTTCTGGGTTGATCCAATGAATAGTGGGGTCCATAAAATAAACTGCAATTAAAGTTCCATCCTTGTCTTCTGGTTAAATGTCAGAGTTATTAAATCCGATAGCTGTTAGTTAATTTCATATGCTAATTTTACAGGGAACTCAAATATATGATGCAAAGGCTGGTGGGTGGAGAGATTTAGGCATGCTTGATGTTATGCAGGTAAGTTTCTGCCATTTCAATTGTTTTGCAATTTGACATTTAGAAATAGGTAGGACAATGATTAATGAGCCTTGGTTGTAGATTTTTGGACGTGCAGGGAGACCGCAGTTTGACAAAAGTGGTGAAGGCATTATAATTACAACACATGATAAGTTAGCCCATTATTTGCGACTTCTTACTGATCAACTCCCCATAGAAAGTCAGGTAAAGCCAGTTTCTTTCGTCTTTAGTCCTGTAATTTCTATGATATGGTTGTTATTTTAACTATTTGCATGGTTGTATCTAATCTAATATTACCCGGGCTTAGATGTGCATTAGTAATTATAACAATCTTTCAGAATTTAGTTTACGTGATACGGCGGAAGCATGAAAAGAAGGAACACCACTTTGATTCATGATCACCATGAACAAAGGCAATGGTTTTTAGACAAAAACCAGTAAAAACCATAACACAGGCTCCCAGCCGTGAAAGAGAACTCGCAGTTCTGAAATCAATTATCAAATATCAATCTCTGTAAACGTACAAAAACCCTATTTATAGTTAAACCCTAAACTTGAAAAAGGAAAATATCTAAAAAGACTTAAAATTCTGTAAAATACTAAAACCTCCCTAAATTAAAATTTCCTAATAAATCTTAAACCCTAATTCTTATTTTTTCCTGCATCAGTACGGTCGAGTACTTCTTCGTCATAGACTATTACCATTGTCTTTGGTTGCTGAGTTTAGTTGGGCATCTGTTAATATCTGCACATCGATAGAGTTCTCTAAGATGTAGCACTTGTTGAATATCTGAAATATATGCATCCTCAGTGTCTGTTGAGGTTTTATAGTCAAATCTAACTCTTAGCTTGATTAGCTATTTTGAAATGTTGATTGTGCTGTCAGGTCTTCTAATATAAGACGTTTTACTGGGCTTTAATTTGGTTAGTGATGCTAGTGTTGTCATTCTTAGGTAATGTCTATCTGTCGTTTTTGGTTATCCATTGCAAATGGAGCTGGAAGAGTCATTATTGACAATTCTTTCAGCTTTGTGCTAATAGAGGATTAGAGCAAAATGGCTCATTTAAATTCCGACGCTTCTTAATTTGGTGAAGTTGCTGGAAATCGATACATCAATGCACCAATGCATCTCGGGTCGTACTACTTAAACAGCCTCTCTGTATTGAAATACAGGGGTAAGGTTGCGTACATCTTGACCCCCCAGGACCCCAACCGAGTTGGGAATATACTGGGTATGTTGTTGTTGTTGTTGTTTGTCTATCTATTGTTTTTGGGAAGGGAGAGAGATGGGAGATGGTGAGGAGGGTGGGGCAGTGATTCTGTTCTGATGTCAACTTGTAAGTATACGCGAGTCCCTTTCCAATCTTCCCCACCTGTTGCTTAACCTGCCCCGATTTATTTTTGTTGCAGTTCATCAACTCGTTGAAGGACAACTTAAATGCTGAGGTGGTACTGGGAACTGTTACAAATGTGAAGGAAGCTTGTGCCTGGCTTGGATATACGTATCTTTTCATCAGAATGAAAATGAATCCCCTGGCATATGGTATCGGATGGGAGGAGGTAAACTTTTCCTTTAAAATGTCTAGCATCATAAAATTGGCATGTTTGCATTCAGTAGGTGTAGCCGTACAGGTAGGGCTATTCCTTTGGTAAACCATTGTACGAGATCACTGTCTAGGTTTGACACGTTTCTTGTGGGATTTGGTCCAAAGAGCGTGATATTTTTACAGTTCCACATCATTGTGATTCTCGTTATTGATTCTAAATATAGCTGGATTAGATACTTTTATCTAAAACCGATTTACATGGGATTAAAAATGTAAAACAATTATGTATCTGATTTAGAGCTTTTCGGAACTGAAGAGGTTGCCTGGTTATGGACTTTCCTGGTTTTCAAGGCCTTCGGCCCAAGGGGCTGCTTATATCTGTGCAAGTAACTGTTTGGTTATATACTGTGATTGATCGTATTTAAAGGGCAATTATGTGGTTAGTCTCTACCTCATACAATAAAACATCTGTTTGGCATGAAAAGCAGGAAAGCCAAATTCAAAGAAAGATGTTTGATCTCCATATGTTTTCTCGTCCATGTTTAATTTTGCTTATCTTGTCTTCTGTTCTGAAGGATTGTTGAAGACAAACTTGAGATTTGCTTCTGCTGTAACTGCACTGCTTTCTTCTGACTAATTTTGGATCATCATTTTTCCTTATTTTTATTGATTCCTTGTTGCTTAAGCTTAAAGGACTTTTGGTGTTAACAGGTTGTTGCTGACCCGTCAATGAGCTTGAAACAGAGAGCCCTTGTCACTGATGCTGCACGAGCTCTAGATAAAGCCAAAATGATGCGATTCGATGAAAAAAGTGGCAACTTCTACTGTACAGAACTTGGTCGTATTGCTAGCCATTTTTACATCCAGTACTCTAGTGTTGAAACTTATAACCAACTGCTGAGGCGCCACATGAATGATAGCGAGGTGATTTCAGCATTTTTCACTTGCAGTTGCAGTTATTTGTTGGCTTAATACTGTATCTCTTCTTCTTATTCTACAGCACCACTTGTGGTTACACTTATCTCATAGCTAATACACTTTTCTAAATATAATTTAGCTGTTGTTTAATAATTTTGAAGAGTGATTTCTACTTACACATGAATGCCGAATGAGGGGGGAGAGAAGGGGGGAAGGAGGAAAGAAATTTTTTAAAAACAGGTAAAGAATACCTTCAAGGATATACGACTTTCTTTTTGAAATCTAAGATACTTTGGAGTCTACAGCTTCAGAATTTTTTCCTCAAAAGTTAGGTTTTCCCATCACAATCATCTTATCCCCAAATCTTTTTCAACATCGACATACATATTCCCAACTCTGTTGGATCAGGGGGGTTAAGTGTTCGAGGCCTTACCCTTGTATTTCTATAGCGACCCAAGATGCATTGCTACATTTGATGTATCGATTTCACACAACTTCACTTATAAAAAAAAGCATTGGAATTTATTTGAGCCCTTTTGATCTAGTATTAGCACAAAAATAAAAGGACTGTCAATGACAACTCTTCCAGCTCCATTTGCAACTGACAAATCTCCAAATCTTTTTCAGCATTAGAATGTCAGATTTCTTTGCTGAAGTCTTAAAGTTCTTTATAAAATTGCTAGCTAGCATGTGTTTCCGTATGTTTTGTACCCTTTCTTTTGTGCTTTTTGGATCTTTCAATGTTCTTTCCGTTGCAACTTTCTTTCATCTCCTTGTAGAGGTGTTACTGTTTGTTAATTCTTCCCTCTTTCATACCAATTTTGTAGATAATCAATATGGTTGCACATTCTTCTGAATTTGAAAATATTGTTGTCCGTGAAGAAGAACAAACTGAGTTAGAGAAGTTGGCCACTTTATGTCCATTAGAAGTTCGAGGAGGTCCTTCAAATAAACTTGGAAAAGTATCGATTCTCATTCAGGTACTTGGAATATGCTTTTTCTGACTTGGGGTACTCATATAATCAATTGCTGGCAGATGTATGACTAACTGTATTCACCTTTTGGTACAGCTCTACATATCTCGGGGTTCAATCGATACATTTTCACTAGTTTCTGATGCAGCATATATCAGTTCAAGTTTGGCTCGTATTATGCGGGCACTGTTTGAAATATGCTTGCGTAGGGGGTGGTCTGAGATGTCTTCTTTACTACTGGAATACTGCAAAGCAGTGGACCGTCAAATTTGGCCCCATCTACATCCTCTTAGGCAATTTGAGAAAGAGATTTCTGGAGAGGTTAGTATTAAATAATGATCTTATTAAGTCAACTGTTTGTGTGAGCATTTAACTTTTCCTTGGGCATAATGTCATTTCCTCAGGTTTTGAGGAAGCTTGAAGAAAAAGGGGCTGATTTAGATCGCCTAATGGAGATGCCGGAGAAAGATATTGGTGCTTTGGTCCGTTACGGAGTTGGCGGAACGGTATATTTAACTTATCGAACTTCCGTTTTGCGAAAAGATATTTTCAAGTGTATTTATATTTGATTTTGATGTGGTTTTTTTTTGCAAATAAAGATGGTGAAGAAGCATTTAAGATATTTTCCTTCGGTCCTGTTATCTGCTACTGTAAGTCCAATCACAAGAACTGTTCTGAAGGTAAACCAATTCTTCCTCTTTAGGAGAAAGTATAATTTCTTGTTGGAAATGCAAGATAAATCATGCAGCTGATGTTTTGCTTTTCCTAGGTGGATTTGATTATCATACCTGACTTTGAGTGGAAAGATCGTTTTCATGGGACTGCGTTACGGTGGTGGATTTTGGTTGAGGTAAACTCTTTTGACACTTTCCCTTTGGGTAGATGTATATAGATTTTTGTGGATGATTGATTCATCTATCAGGGCCATCAAAATATTGCTTCTAGAATTTGTTGTAAAGTTCAAGTTATTCTCCTATTTTGTTATTACTTTTACATTTATCTTATTAACATTAGCGAGAAATTAAAGGTGTACTTGTCTAAATAAATAAACAAAATCTACCAAAACTGAAACTTCACTCATGTTCAGAGAAGAGAGGGGGAGGGGAAGAGATCCTGAGAAACCATCTCTCATTTTTTAGTATCCTTTCAATTTTGTTTTTGGTTGAATTATTTGTTACTTGAAGTTAAGTAGCCAGTCACTCATGAGATAAGCTTTATGATGACATGATGAACAAAACTGCGATCCGGTGCCCTTTAATTGAACCTGATGAGGAGTATGGTGCTTCTGACTATCGTCATGTTCTGTTTCATACTTTAATGGCTTAAGTTAAGAAAAGGATTTTTCCTAGTTGTGTCATAATAACTATTTGTTTCAGTTTAATAGAGCGATATGATTTTCTGTTGAATTCATTTGCTTACGTTTGTTGAAAGTGCACAATATGACCTTTGAGTGGGGTATACCTACTACTTATCTGCTTTTTTAACTTCTGTTCCTTGCTCCAAGAGAAGCTTTGGTTAAAATATGATGAATCCTTAGAGTTCTCTCTACTAGATTATTATTTATGCACTAGAAGGGACACAAAAAGACGCATATAGAAAAAGAAAACTAATATGAATAGATTTTGATAACTGTTACTGGATTTTCCCTGCGTTAATTGGAATTGTATTCTTATACGTTCTTTATTACATTTAGGATTCCGATAATGATCACATTTACCACTCTGAGCTATTCACACTTACAAAGAGGATGGTGAACGCAGAACCTCAAAAGCTATCCTTTACAGTTCCTATCTTTGAGCCACATCCTCCTCAGTACTATATTCGTGCTGTTTCTGATTCATGGTTGCACGCAGAGGCCTTTTACACTATATCCTTTCATAATCTTGCTCTGCCAGAGGTTTTTTCCCTAATACCTTGCTTTCAATAGTTTTTCCCTTAATTTTTACTAGTATGCTTTTCCATTTTCCGTTTGTATTGTAAGATCCTCCATAACCAAAAATTTGGTTTCATTCAGGGCCGAACAACTCACACGGAGCTTTTAGATTTAAAGCCCCTCCCTGTGACTGCACTTGGAAATGAAGATTTTGAAGCTTTGTATAAGTTTACCCACTTCAATCCTATTCAGACGCAGGTGAATATCATTTGGTTTCCTGACTCAGTTAAGCAGTGTTTTATAAATTGATGTTCTTGAATTTGTTCCAGGCTTTTCACATGTTGTATCACAGCAACAAAAATGTTCTTTTAGGAGCTCCCACTGGAAGTGGAAAAACTATATCAGCTGAACTCGCAATGCTCCACCTTTTCAACACCCAGCCTGACATGAAGGTACTCTCTCTTTTTTCCTTTTCTTGTGATAGCATTGAATCCTGTGTTTGCCCTTTTTTCCCTTCAAATCTAGTATTGGGTTTGAATTGTAGTAGTAGTAATGCTGATCAGCTCTGCATGTATTGATTTCAGAACTGAAAATGGCCCATGATGTGGCTGGCATATTGTAATGCGTGTAGAAAAACATCACAACATGACTTGTCTAGAGGTTATGCTATCTCAACCCACTTAAATCTGCAAACCTTGGACCTTCAAGTTATTTCAGCTATTCAGCAAAAGGACAAAGTCCATGGCATTAGGTCTTGTTTGAACTAGAATCTAAGGACTTCTCTTTAATATTTTTTTATAGTCGCTTTACGGTCTGGTGCTAGCATCTCAAGAATGATTTGGAGGATTGTTACTGTCTGAAACTGGGATAAGTTCCAGTGAACTCTGGTGTATAATGTGAACATTGCGTGTGGTTATGTTGTCCTTTGAGTTGTAGATTATTTTTGTTGGGAAAATATCTGGGTTTTGATAAGATTTAAGTGAGTGAAGCATTTAAGTTACTCTAAACATTTTTTTTGAGTAACTTATCATAGTAGGTTCAGAAGCCTTTTGTTTGTATTAGGTATTGTGGCGTCAAATATGCAATTTAATGCAGATATTTTATTATGCAGGTGATTTATATAGCACCATTGAAGGCTATTGTTAGAGAAAGAATGAATGACTGGAAGAAGCATCTTGTTTCCCGTCTTGGGAAGAAAATGGTCAGCATTTTCTTGTAAATGTTTTTTATTTTGATTTTAATCTTTTTGATTGCTATGTCAACTATTTCTTTTTCCTTTTCTTTTCTTCTTTTTTTTTTTTTTGTGGATCAGGTTGAAATGACTGGAGACTACACTCCAGATTTAATGGCTCTTTTATCGGCAGATATTATCATCTCTACCCCTGAAAAGTGGGATGGTATCAGTCGTAACTGGCACACTCGAAATTATGTTAAAAAGGTCAATATTTGTTGCATTAGTTTATTTTGATGGCTTTTTTTTAAAAAAAAATTCCTATCTTTCCTTCTTTTTTTTTTTGGGTGGTCTACTAAGCTTGTTTGAGTTTTGTAGGTTGGGCTTATGGTACTGGATGAGATTCATTTACTCGGAGCTGATCGTGGACCCATTCTTGAGGTATATTATCGTTTTCCAAGTAATTTTTCATGGCACTTGCAAGCTTATACAGTTGGTAAAACTTTGGTATATCGATTGCACGGCAAGTTGTGTTCATTCTGATATTTTATGAAATGTCATAGTTGGCGCTTAGTTCAGCCATTATGAGTAGCTTATTTTCTTGTTTACAGGTAATTGTCTCGAGGATGAGATACATATCATCCCAGACAGACCGAGAAATTCGATTTGTAGGCCTGTCAACTGCTCTCGCTAATGCTCAGTATGTGCTGTTTTTCCTTTACTCCTTTTTTGCCTTGTACTCATTCATGATCCCATATTGGTTTCTCATATAATAATATGTGAAGAATTGCAAGTTTGTAGATTTGCTTCTGTAATCGGTTTTGGTATCCTCAAATTGCCCCCCGGGTGGCACACACAGACACACTCCAAAACAAAATTAAATGTATCCATGTTGAGGGTCCTTAGTGTATCATTGAATAGTGATTGTTTCTCTTTGTAGTGATTTGGCTGACTGGTTGGGTGTTGAAGAAGGTGGGTTATTCAATTTCAAGCCCAGTGTCAGGCCTGTTCCTCTTGAAGTTCATATCCAGGTAACTGAGAATTGATTTGTGAATACGATACATTCTCAAACTAATAAGCTCTATGGCCTGCAACCTTTGTGAACGTTATATTCAATGAGGAATTGCGTCTAGCTTATGGTTTCGGAAGTTTGTTCTTATCTGGGATTTTTTTTTTTCCATTTTTCCTTATCCTTTTGTTGATCTACTCTGAGTTGCTTTCGGTATTGAAAGAGAAATGTTTATATTAATAGTAAACAATCAATCTACTTACTAACTTGCTAGATAGTCTATTCTTTTTTCTGTTTTTATAATCCTTTTTGAGGATGTGGAATTGGTTAATTGTTTTATTTTTTATATCGTTTTCGCCGTATCTCTAATATTTAAGTATTGTACATAGGGATACCCTGGGAAGTTTTACTGCCCAAGGATGAATAGCATGAACAAGCCCGCATATGCTGCCATATGTACCCATTCACCTGCCAAGCCAGTCCTAATATTCGTGTCATCTCGTCGCCAAACTAGACTTACAGCGTTGGACCTTATCCAAGTGAGAACCAGTAATTATGGCTTTGGACCTTATGTTTCTGGACTTTTTCCAGTTTAATTTTCATTTTTAACTCTTGTTTTCTTTGATAATTAAGTTTGCAGCTTCAGATGAACAGCCAAGGCAGTTCTTGGCTATTCAAGAGGAATCTCTGCAGATGATCCTTTCACAGATCACCGATCAAAACCTTAGGCACACTTTGCAGTTTGGTATTGGGTTACATCATGCAGGGCTAAATGACAAGGATAGATCTCTGGTGGAAGAACTTTTTGCAAACAACAAGATTCAGGCAACTTCTTGAACCTTTTCTTTTCAGCTCAACGAGAAACTACTTTGTGTTGATTCTTATTGAAGGGGGTAGTGAAAGAATGGCATGAATATTGTCATTAGTTGTAGTGTGGCTGCCATCTAAATTCTCCTTTAAATAACTTTTAGCGTTGCCACCCCTTTTGAGAGGGTTACCTAAGTTTTTGCGCCCTTGTATGATTGTCAAATTTGAATGATCTTAGAAGGAAAATTTACCCTTTTAATTGAAGTAGGTTTCATCTAAAGATCCATTTCATTTATTGTATTATGTTTGGCGCTCGCAGATTTTGGTCTGTACGAGCACGCTAGCATGGGGTGTAAATCTTCCAGCTCATTTGGTTATTATCAAGGTAAGTTGAGTTATCTTTATCCTTCTCCATTCACCAAGGTTGATTGAGGATTTTGCATGATCGATCTAGAATTTAACTTCAGATGGCAGTTATGGATATTGACATTATCAAGATTACAACATCTAGGACTGCTTGAAGACATCTCATAAATATAAATGTGTAGTTCTTAATTAAAATGTACATGTATGATATATCGATGTTCTCGTGATTGCAAAATGTATTGCTTTTTTGTAAGACCATTCTTCAATTTTTCTTCACTAAACTTACCTCTATGAATGAAAACCTTTGTTGGGGCTTTACCGGTTGAATACATACAGGATTTTTAAAAAATTCCAAAGCTTGAATCTTTGTGATTAGCTGTTAATCCATTACATGATTAAACCTGAATGGTGCTTTGCCAATATAAACTTGTTTTCTTTATCAGTAATTCTGACCATCACAAGAAGTTTATTCAAATGCTCCATTTACTGGCTCTTGGAATTCTCTGCAATTTAGCATCACTGTTCAGTTTGTGGTCCTATTAGTCCCACCTTACTTTCACTGCAGGGTACAGAGTATTATGATGGAAAATCGAAAAGATATGTTGATTTTCCTATCACAGATATTCTACAAATGATGGGTCGAGCAGGTCGACCACAATATGACCAGCATGGAAAAGCTGTCATTCTTGTTCATGAACCAAAAAAGAGCTTCTATAAGAAGGTCAAGAATCTTTTAGTGTATTGGATAGAATTTCCATTGTTGACTTCTTTCCTTTTAGGTATTGAACATTTGTGTTTATTTTGCAGTTTCTGTATGAACCATTTCCAGTGGAAAGCAGTCTGAGGGAACAGTTGCATGATCATATCAATGCTGAGATAATGTCTGGAACAATTTGTAATAAGGAGGATGCAATGCACTATCTTACCTGGACGTATTTGTTTCGCAGATTGGTATGCTTTGGTGATTTTACATGTATCTGGATTGTACTGTGTGCTCTTTAGTCTATTTCTTTTCACCTCCTGGAAAACTGAAGTTTTGGAAGCTGAAGTTCCTGATGGACCTTGAAAGTAACTTAAACGACAATGTAGGCTCCACCTTTTATAAGATCGATTAGCAATGCTGAAAATAAATATGTAGATAGATGTTTTGGGAGAGTATGTTCAGTGCAATTGTAAATAACGTCATGTCTTAGTTAACCTTGTATGAACTTTTTAATGTTTGCACTTTGGAAATAATATGGAAAAAGATGATTTGATATGTTGCTTATGCTGATATATATATATATATATATATATATATGTGTGTGTACTTCCTTTATATTTCTTTTGTTTCTTAATAAAGGTTTTTGACCTTTCATCAGACAGTGAACCCTGCTTATTATGGCCTGGATGATGTAGAGCCTGGGAATGTCAACTCTTATTTGTCCAGGTATTATCATGGTGCTTTAAAAATGGTACGGACACTGTTATTTTCAAGTTGATTACTTAGTTCGTAATATTTTTATTTCTACTTCATTTTTAAAGCCTTGTACAAAGTACATTTGAGGATCTGGAAGACAGTGGATGCATCAAGATTAATGAAGACGCTGTGGAGCCCATGATGTTAGGATCGATAGCGTCTCAGTATTATCTCAAATACACCACAGTTTCAATGTTTGGTTCGAATATTGGGCCAGACACATCTCTGGAAGTTAGTAAAATATGTGGAAACCCACCTGTGGAATTATGTTTTCACTCATAGTATCTTTTTTAGTTTAGTTATCTGATGGCTTTGTGAAGTACTCATCACACCTTGTACATATCTTTGTAGGTTTTCCTCAACATCTTATCTGGTGCTTCTGAGTATGATGAACTTCCAGTGCGGCATAATGAGGTATAGTTTGGATGGTGGTCGTGCATCCACAATCTTAAGTTTGACTCGCTTGACTGAAGCACTACCTTTTCTCTTGGAATCTGTTCATATCTGGCTTCTCTTTTATTTCTTCGAAAGGAACATAGCAAAATGCTTTATCGTTTTTTGATGGATTATTATGTTTGCACCATTATTTTAAGTTCTTTCGTCTAACAAGCCAATGTTCTGTCTTGGATAATGATTGTAAACAATCTTTTTATCATGTACTTCGAAAGTCATGAAGATGGTTGACTCTGTCAAGTTTATCACTCTTTGTTGCTTTGTAAATAGCATGTCTCAAGCTTCACTCAACAGAAGATGGTCTAGGATAAACCTACATGGGCATGTCAAAACCCTAAATCTTTGAGATATATGTTTAGTCTAGCATATAAAATCCTATCTGTTAACAGCTTACGTGAGGTATAAAGTTTGTTCCTTGATGAAAGTTAGTATTGATCTCTCATATATTAAATCATTACTGCTTGGGGAAAGGAAGATATATGTGAACCTTATGTGAACCTACATGTAATTTTCAGAAAACCTAAATCTTTACTATACTCAATACTGACTTTTTTTTTCCTCCTTCCCTTTCTCTCTTAGCTAAGCAATGTATTGTGTGATTTTTGGAAAGTTTCATTCACATTATTCACTTATAACATTATTCTGGGTATGGCAATATCCTTGCAAAATTTCATCCTGATTCCTGATGAACACATTTATTTGCAGGAGCATTCATTTTTTATCATCTGTTTAATGAATAAGTTATGGAACGAAAAGGAAAAATTAATTATGATTATTGAACAAAGAAAGCTAACATGCTCTAACGTGTAAAAACATTTCACCACTTTTAGTCATGTGTTGGACAAAAACAGTAAAGGCTTCAGCTTATCTATGTTTTGCATAATACTACAAAAGTAGAAAGTGGTACACATGAAAGTCGTGTAACTTTTTCGGACTTTGCTACTGCATTTGACAGGAAAACTACAATGATGCATTGTCCAAAAGGGTTCCATATATGGTGGACAAAAATCGCCTTGATGATCCTCATGTGAAGACAAATCTTCTCTTTCAGGTACTTCTCGTACATTCTGCTCTCTCTTTTTTTTTTTCCTTAAATTTAGTTTTATGTATCTCTTTTAATTATTTGAAATCTCAACAGGCACATTTTTCACAATTGGATTTACCCATCAGTGATTATATTACTGACTTGAAGTCTGTGTTGGATCAAAGCATAAGAATCATTCAGGCCATGATAGATATATGTGCCAATAGTGCATGGCTCTCAAGTGCCTTGACTTGCATGAATATTTTGCAAATGGTTATGCAGGTATTTTTTCGTTCTTGACATAAGTGAAAGACATGTTTTCAACAAAACCTGAAGCATGTTGCTGCCACCTGGGTTTACGTAATATTTGCAAACTAATTTCTGCAGAATTAGCAAAAATCATCTCATAATTGGCACTTTTTGTTCAGGGAATGTGGTACAAGGAAAATTCCTCTCTCTGGATGCTGCCATGCATGACTGATGATCTCGTCAGATCTTTGAATAGAAGTGGAATCACTAAGGTTCAGCAATTACTTGAAATGTCACCCTCAGCTTTACGTAGACTAACTGATACCGCGATGGTCACACGACTACATCAGGTGATGCTTATTCTCCTTGCATAGCTCACATACGTAATTATTATGTTGTGATGATGAAAACATGCCCCGCATTACTGGAGAATTAATGATGCTGGCACAATGAAGAATTTCACTTTTAACTTCTTATTTTACCTTCGGGTGCAATTTTTTTTTACCAATCTAGGCATCATAAGTGGGTTTTGTGCTCTAGTAGTTCAACTTGGGAACCTAAGTTGGATGTTTGAATGATGTTCCTACTCCATTTTTCCTCCATGACGTAGTGAAGTAGCACTGGACATTGTGGTCCTTGGTAATTTAAGCGTCTGGAGTCTATAGTTTGAGTTGCTTTTTCTACTTGTGTGAAATGTGACTGCTTGCTGTTTTATATGAAACAACCATTCCCGTACATTGTGGAAACTTTCAATTAAGAACCAAACTTTCAAGCTTATTTTCACTGCTGGCCATGATAGTCTCTTCACACTCCCTCTCACTGAGTTGTGGTTTTTGGGTGTTTATTTCCCTTCCTCCTTGATATGTGTTATTGGTGCTTCACTGTCATGCTTCTCGTTCGCTAAACCCTAAACCTTAGGCCTGGCCTGTTCTGAGATCCTTGTTTTGCTTATTTGGCTCCTGCAAGCAACAATTTTGACAGTTGATGTTTACTTGTTACAAGTGACTTGCTGTTCCATGAGAAACCAACCAAACTTCTGCTTTGGAAATTGTGAAATTGTAAGGCTAAGATAACTCCATTTGATGTTAACAGGATCTGCAGCATTTTCCCCGTGTTCGAGTTCAACTTAAAGTTCAAAAACGTGATTCTAATAGCTCAAATGGCTTTAACTTGAATATCAGAATTGAAAAAACAAATTCCCATCAACGAACAAGAGCTTTCACTCCTCGGTTTCCTAAGGTAAAATCTTTTTTTCTGTTCAGCCGTTGATAATATCCATAACTGCAAAATGAGGTTTGGGTGACACATTGTCTTCCTGACAGATAAAAGATGAAGCATGGTGGTTGGTTCTTGGCAACAGCTCTACCTCTGAACTTTATGCTTTGAAGAGAGTTTCTTTCTCTGATCGGTTGGTGACACATATGGAGATACCATCCACGCTTGTTGATTTCCAGGTTTGCAGATATCTTCTTGATAAAACTCTTTATATATATACCCGTTAGTCTTTTTGAGAGGGTCTTGGTGGTTAGCAACTATCTTAGGTGAACACCAGGAGTCTCACTTTCTTAATTTGTATGTAATCCATGCTCCCTTAGATTAACAGTCTAAGACTGTTGGAGGAAATATTTCTGAAAAAGAAAATACAATATTTCAATGGGCACATCTCAGCATTCATATGTTAAAATGTAAAAACAACTAGTAGTAATTTTTAGATATCTTTTCTCTGTTTTTGCGATGTACATACTTATCTGCTGCTTATTGCCTCTCTTTTACTGATCCTTTTTCAGGGATTGAAGCTTTTATTGGTTTCAGACTGCTATTTGGGGTTAGAACAAGAGTTTTCTGTTGAAGAACTTGGTCCTACTGCAGGAACAACCTAAGAATGGTTCAATCGGCTGTATTTTGTCAATAGATCGATTTTATTATACACCCTGTACAGGAATGTAAAGGGCTCAATATAATAGAACTAATACAGGTCTTAATGTCAGTTGTATCAGGTACATCAAATTTATAAAGATCTAACTGTCATCTGTATAAATGACAACTTGTCTGCAATTACTACTTCTTAATTACATTGGTTAGCCAATCTTTATTTACAAAGATGTTATGAATGATGGCTACTCCTGATCGGAATCGAAAAACCCAGCATCTCTCATCTCTGAATAGTATGCATTATCGAGAAGCCAATCTTCCTCCTGTGCAAATGACAATTTTACTCGGATTACCCCCAAGTTGAAACAAAAGTTGCTACCAACCAAAAGAGAAAAATTTATATCATAATACCTGAAAAAAGTCGGCAAGAAAAGTCACATACAGAAACGGAAGATAAAGGGAGTGGAAGGATACAACTGTCAAATTGTACAGCCTGCAGGAAAACGCAACATGTGAAGATATGTGAACTTCAGTAGTCAACACTTGATCCCCTTGTAAGCTGTCTTCCCTTTTTTTCCCCCTAATTTTGAAAACAACAAAATTCAAAAACTTACCAGAGCCCAAAGGAAGCACCAAAGCCAGCAAGCCCACAAGCAAATGATGCTACAACATAGAAGATGAACAATACCATGACATAATTGTAGAATGCTGGTTTTGCTGCATGATATGCCAAACAGGATGGAGTAAGATGTTGGCCAGGCTAAACCAGTCAAAACTAAAATGAAAGGTGGGGGTGGACTTACGAGGCAACTTGTCTCTCCACTTTGCATAATGCACAAATAATATGTAGCCATAAATTGCTGAAAAGAGTAATTTGTAAGTGAACCAAATTCCCCATTTCCCTTTGTGTGCAGATCCCATATCAATGAACAGGGGAATCCCAAATCCAAATATACAGATCACCTGTCAAATATATTCAAAATTAGGGCCGATGGCGAAAGGCCAGATGCCAGTTTTTCATTTTTCTGGAAACAACTCCATATAAGTTCATTATGATTGAAACAGAGATGGAAATGTTTGCAGTGGACAAACAAAAATTAGGATGATGAACGCTTATAGGTCTAGTTGCTGGTATAAATCCTGAGAGATAACCTCACAGAAACTGATTGATACTCTCGACCTCTAGATCCCAGTCACCTTCAGGGAAAACCAAAAGGCAATGGATGAAAAGACTTCTGCTAGAATAAAATTTCTGTTACAAAGGCATCCAAACCCATAACATGCCCACAAATCAAGGACATATCAAATTCAGTTGGTATTGCATTTTCTTCAGCAAAATGTGACTTTTTCCTCCATTTCCTTACAAAAGTTGGATTAAGCTTGCACCAAAGCACAAAGAACAACCAAATGCAAATAATTTTTCTGATTGAAACCCAAAGAAGACAACATTCAGGCAAACACACTCCTACAGCTACAGACCCACTAAATTTGTGACACAGCAGGTCAAAGTGGAAAAAGCGCTGCATAATATAAGAAAGACTTAATTTTTCAAGAAAACTTAGTATGCTGTTTATCGTAAGCCTTTTCCCTTTACAGTCCATAACAACTACCCCCTGAAATTTGACTTGCTAGCTGATGAAAATACTATTCAGCATGAGGGTAATTACACTTGAGAAGAACTTCAACAATGGGAGTAAACTAATAAATGTTCAGCATTTTCATGATAAAAATTAAAAGATAAACAATAAAAACAAAATTTTCATGATAATGGATATCAATGGTTACAAAGAACGAAAGAGCGCTAAAGAGAGAAAAAAGGTGACATTTTTACAGAACAAATAATGCACGAATAAGGCAAAAAAATCACCAGTTGTGCTCTATGCCTAAGGTCCCAAGCTAAAACAACCAGGAAGGAGCAAAAACAAGAAAGTCAAAATGAGTTATAACAATGGAAGCAGTTAAAAGAATAGATCAAATACTTGTGCGAGTTAATAAATAAATCTACAGGAATAAGACCGAAACAAGAGTTACCTTGAATAATACATCTACACCAACGAAGAGGCCCGAAACTATGAATGTATGTGATAGAGTTTCCAGCCCACTGACATAATTATCTTGCAGCAAGAAAGCTACAATGCTAATTTCCAGACACAAAATCCCAGACACCGTAGGTAGTGACAACAGGTTCCAAGCAATGTCTTTCCCAGGTGTACATTGCCACGCCTGTTTCATAATCATTCAAGTAAAACATTTGACTACAACTAATTGGCAGATTGATATCTTTCCCAACAAGAGCTCAAAACAGAAAGCCTGGGAACGATACTATAAATACAATTGATAAGTAATCATCAACGAACATGCAACATTGTAATCACAAATTACGTAGCATTAAAATTTTATGATTACGAATATAACTTCCATCTGAATATTTTTGTTAGATTATTAGCATAAATCCACTGGTTTAATTTTTCTTTCACAAGCGACAACAAAATATGGGGACCAAGAGTTCTCTCCCCCTTATAGTTATTTTCCTAACTACTGTATCAGTTGTGCCTATAATTAATCAAAAGCCCATCAAAATATTCCAACACAAGCCAGGAATATTTTAGGTACTATCACAAGCCATCTCATATCCACTCTACTCATCATGTTACCACCGAAACTAATATCCATAAAACAGATTTTTCTTGTTTTCTGCATTTACCAAAGCCATCAAAAATTTGCATTAACATAAACTAATTATCTAAGGAAGGATCAAAGAACTGAATATTCATAATCTTTTCAATTTCCCAAATATTACAGGACGATTTGGAATTTCAGCTAACAAATCAGTTCAAGAAAGCAGCCTTAAAAAATTTAAGAAAAATACAAAAAAAGAGGAGACCTGACCTGAAGAGAAGACCAAGCGAGATTAAGGAGGGCAGCAAACCAAAGGAGAACATAATACGCAATCATGACGCGAGATCTTCCATTCCTAAGCTTATTAACATTACGCTTGGCCTGAAACCCTAGATAAACGACAAACAACGCCGACGGAAGCACCAGAGCTGCGTTGTGCCAGAATCCATGGCACGCCCTCTCCTCCCCCACCGCCGCGGCGGATGACGAGGAGAGTAATTTATCGTATAATTGGGAAATTGAAAAAGGATGATGATCAGCGCCGACTCCGGAAGCTTCCCCCGGAGCTCCAATGGTCGGAGCAACCGAATACGATCGCCGTAAATTTGACATTACCGCAAATAATCCAAAAACTCAACACATGATTGATGCTCCAATCAACAATGATGATGATAATGAACGATGTGATTAGAATATTAGTACAGAATCTGTAGACAAACTGTGTGACTGTGTCAAAAATGGGAAGAGCAAATTCTGAGTTTATAACAGGCAAACTTGACACGAAAGCATCTAAAGTGTGTTCAACCAAGAAAGGAGGAAAGAACCCCCTAAAATTTTGTTTTTATAACATTTGTGCCCATAAACTTTCAGATACTATCAATTTTACAACAAATTTGGTTGAATTACCACATCTTCAAGTTGAAGTGAAAAGAGGGCTAGAAGTTATTTATTATAAGAAGAAGATGAGATTGCATAACTTAGCGTCTGTTTTTACTTTTTGGAGTAGGCATAAACTAATCATAATCATTAACCATCTTTTATCACTAAAAGAACATAGGCATAAACCATTCATAATCTTAGTCCCAGCGAGAATCCAACCCTCGACCTCCTTAGTAACCATCTCCCATCCTAATTCGCTAACCACCCCACCCATAATCTTAACTATTCCATCCGTTCTAAAATAAGTGTCGTTCTAGCAAAATGGAGAAATTTCAAAATAAATGTCATTCTCACATTTCAATGCACTTTTTGTCCAAAGTTTTCGAAATTACCTTCAAGAGAATTAATACTATTGGTAGACATTTTTTTTAATGGGTTTGGTTGAAGATATTCAAGTAATTTTATTACTCTATTTAAGAGTTTCTTAAATTATGTGCAAAGTATGGGATGACACTTATTTTGGAATGGGGGGAGTATATTTTATCACCTAAAAGAACAAAGACGGTAAAACAAAAATCGCATTATAACACTTATCATACTTGTTATTCTATTTTAGAATTAAAAAAAATGAGACAAGTATTTTGCAGACAAAGGCAAAATTATCAATATGTCATAATTCTTTGGTGTGCGCTTTTGAAAATGTTGGAAAGAATAGAGTTTAAAACTTGAAAAGGAAATTGATTTATTTATCATCATCTTGGTGGTCATTGTCATTTGTCACATTTGGTAGATATTCGATAAGTGCCGTCCATATCATCACTCACCTAGCTGACCATTTGCGAACTATTTCACCTTTCACAATTTGAGGAATAGGTAAGACTCCAAAATTTGTAGCCACTCCTTGGCATTTTAATAGCTTTCTCTTATTTAGTGGTCGGTGTGTTCTATTCATTTTGAAGTTTGCTGTCTGTTTACCCCCACCCAAAAAAAAAAAATTGTCTACATTTTTGTTCTATTTCTAAAGGGAAATCATTTGGGCGTATATATGCCAACCGGAACAATCTTTCAGAAGTGATTTGGTCATAACCCATCATAAAGGAAGTTTTATTTCACTGTTTCCTCCGTCTCGAAATTATTTTTTTATTTAGATTTTTATTTTTAGTTCAAAAATTTGTACTAAAACCGAAAATCCAAAATGAAAAATAATTCTGGGATGGAGTATTTAAGAATTTCTATAGAGGTTGGAAGCATAGGAACTTGTTAATTTTGTCAACAAATGACTGGAACTTGTTAGCTTCTTTTTTTTCCGGAGAAGACATAAAGATCAGTGGAGATATAGATACAAAGTTAGGAGTTACCTTTTTATAAAGTTTCAATTACTGGAGCTTTAGCTATGATCATTCGTGACATGTCATTTCTATCATAGGGCAAAAACTCTTCTTCTGACGTAACTGAATGAAGCATCATCTAAAAACTCCCTTCGTTCTAAAATTATAGTCCAATTTAAATTTTTATTTTTAATTCAATTTATATTTAAGGTAAAATTTTAAACCGGACAATAATTATGAGACACAGACAGAATATTGCATAATTGGATTCCTTCCGATCTAGTAGGACAGAAGGAACACTAAAAAACATACGTATTGAAATACAAAACAGCTAGCAATATTCCAAATAAGCGTTCTCAGGTCTGGGCCGTTTCATACACATGGGGTGAAAGTCTAGGCCTAGGGTGGACCAATAAGGGTGAGGCCCGCTGTAAAGTGAGACCATAAGCTTCCTCCATGTCCAGTTTCTCTCTAGTTTGACCATCCGGTAAATCCCAATCAAATGCATGGATCAGAGTAGCAGTCAGAAACTGGACAACTCTAAGGCCCATACTCATTCCAGCACAAATCCTACGCCCAGCACCAAAAGGTATAACCTCAAAATCGTTACCCTTTATATCAACACTGGGCTTCTCACCGCCAGGCAAGAATCGTTCTGGACGGAACTCCAATGGATCGGCCCACATTTCCGGATCACGAGCAATGGCCCATACGTTAACGAGGAGAGTTGAACCTTTAGGAATGAAGTATCCGTTGATTTCACAGCTCTCGGCCGCCATTCTTGGAAGAGAGAGTGGGGTGGAAGGATGAAGCCTGAAAGTCTCCTTGATGATGGCTTGAAGGAATGGCAATCGAGCAAGATCGCCTTCCGATACTAGCCGGCCCAGCCCAACAACATCGTCAAGTTCTTTTTGTGCTTGGGCTAACAATTTGGGGTTGCGAATGAGTTCTGCAATGGCCCATTCCACGGTGCTGGATGATGTGTCTGTCCCTGCTGTAAATAAATCCTGTAATCATGATGGAAAAACAAATGAAAATCTTTACATACCACACTCGGAAGTGAAGTTCAAATGAATAGTGCCTTTGTTTCTTACTCCTTCTGTCCCAAAATTATTGTCCAGTTTAAGATTTCACTTTTATTACAATTTGAACTAAAAATGAATACCCAAAGTGGACAATAATTATGGGACAGAATGAGTATAACCATCATGAATTATTGCATTCGTTATTGTATTGTAACATGGCACCCTTCAAAATTCAAACTTAAGGGACTCGCGGTTAAAATTATTTTTACTCTTATCACCTCAAGTGATTCTTTCAACCTTCACATTTTCAATAAGTATCTTTTACCTCTTGAATCAGTTACCAAAGTTCAAGACAGAAACAGCATCCCTCGGTACACATAAATAATGTAAGCTGTCACAAATTCAATTTCAAGCATTCACTAGCAACAAACAATGTTACAGTAAGCCAACTCTTATTGAGTGACATTCTACTTTTGCCTACATTTGAGTGATATGTGTTCTTTCATAATTTCATCCATGAGATTATTGTTAGATTTACACCCTTCTCAAACCAACCTGGAAGACAGCAATAAAATTTTGCACCTACCATTCAAAGAAAGTGGATAACATACAAATAGTACCACTATACAATTAGAAACCATCACATCGATGAATGCAGAAACAGTAGGGTGTCCCTAGATCTAATACAAGGCCTTCACCAAGAGCCCTACCTTATGTGACAGGGTAAATGACAAAATGTGAAGGACCAAAGTGAATCGTGGTCCTATTACTCCATCACACTCATAAACCATTACAGTTGTCCCAGTGTTGTACCATTTCACGCGTTGATTACATTTAGCAGTACATATGTTTGTTTCCTTTTGTTAGATCTGTACTTTCAGTTTTTTTTTATTGAAAAGTGCCAAAAAATTTATTGAAAATGTAAAAATATATATTGAGACGAAACAGTTGTAATTATATTATTATTCTAAAAAAACTAGTGAAAAAAGGAAACAAACACAGAATTTTATAACATTTGGAGATTATTTCTCAATATTGACTTTGAAGTTTGCAGTTTTCATTCGAAAGAGACCAATAATTTCATACAGCGAATTTATAAGGAGACTCTTCTAAATTAATTTAATTCACAAAAATATATAATACTCCATCAAGTCCTAACTATAAAGCACAAATTAACACTATAATTAGTTTAAATTTATGTCTTATAATATCGAAAAGAGCACCATAATTGCTAATTAGATTTGAAATTGGTTTTAAATTGAAAGTCTTAATCACTTTGAAGGTAGTTCTCTTCAAGTTCAACAACGTAGAAACGAAAAGTAAAATAGTGATAAGTCTAACATCTCTTGACCTACGTTTAAAATGGCGGAGCACCTTTCCTACCAAGCTCCAACTACCCTTTCTCTTGCCATTTGTTTTTCATTAAATCATCACTTAAATGTGAGGAAGACGTTTGATGGAATTTCATTTCCCTTTTTTAGTACTATTACAATACCACGTGACAGAATAACACCATTTCCTGTAAATAAGCGCTTGTGGTTGTAATGTTGTTAGACTCGGCTCGGAGATCGTCTCGCAAAAAATTACCACTTCAAATACTCAAAAATTTCAAAAGCAGCTTAACTTTGGACTTCCGTGTTTAGGGAAAAAAAAAATCCATATTGTTGTATAATAATTTAGTTCAACAAAATTGATTATTTTTCAAGAACGTAAAAAATATATTAAAACTAGAAAATTGCATTCTCAAAAGGAATAGCGAAGACTAAGTGTGAATTAAGAAATTAGAGAAGAGAGGTATACTTACCAAAAGCAATGCTTTGATTTCTGTATCTGTAAGAGTGCCTCCCTCTCCATCAACATTATCCTTGAGCGAAATCAACGTACTCAAGAAGTCCACGTGTCCCTCCTGTACACGTTGGCCATTGATCTTGTGCTCTTCCAGGATAGTGTTCAAGAACGCATCGAACCGCGCGTGGAGTTTCTTCATCTTAGAAGCAACGCCCTGCAAGTCAAGGCGATCAAGAACCGGAATAAAGTCCCCCAAGTTGAAAACGCCGGCCAACACCATCAGCTCCACCACCATCGACTTAAACTCGTCCGCCTTTGGATCTCCTCCGCCGGTACCGTCGCCGAAGACCCGCCGCCCGAGCATCATTCGCCCCAACGAGTTTGTGGTGCACACTCCTAATAGCTGGCCGAGGTTCACCGGCGCTTGTCCTGCACTTGCTAATGCACGAGTGAGAAGTCCCGCCTCTTCCTGCAGCAATTAGAATGAATAATTAAATAACAAATTTCCTGGAGAAACTAATGAAATAGTATTAATTATTATCGTAAAACAAGAAAAAAAATCCTTTTGTGTATAGTGTTCATCCAAATAAAGATTATACCTTGTACAATAGAAATTATTTTAGTTCCTCTTTCTTAAAAAAAATAATTAATTTTATTGACAAAAATAACACCGCACATTAGATTTTTTTTTTTTTTAATGTTTGAAACTAAGTTTCAAAAGAAATATGAAGGACGTCATATACTTGGTCTTGTCACGGTTTGTAATTTCTGTTATTCCAATCTTTATGGCGTAAAGTATACAAGCTGAATAATCCATCTTCGGATATTTTTAACGAAATCATATTTTTAAAATCTTTATTTTTTGTTTTAACAAAAAAAAACATTAATTGTTCAATCCTATATACCCAAAACTCGCAGAGCCAAAAACTCATTTTTGTCAATCAATTATGAACACTTCCAATGAACCCTGCAACTTGTTCTGGTCACTGAATGTTACAAGGAATAATAATAAGAACTGTCTCTGTCCCAAAATTATTATGCAGTTTAAAATTTTACTTTTAGTACAATTTAAACTAAAAGTAAAAACTCAAACTGGACAACAATTATAGGACGGAGGAATACTCCATCAGAACGAGAAGGGGCGAAAAAATAATACTCCCTCCGTCCCATAATTATTGTCCACTTTGCCCAAAAAATTTAGTCCCAAAATTATTATCCAATTTAACTTTTTATGGATCAAATTACACATTTGTCCTTAGTAAAAAACATTATCCATGAAATCTTAGTGATTAAACAATTACTTACGTAGGGTTATATCCGGTTGTTTAAGATAAAATATAGTTAAATTTGACCAAAAATAAAATCTTTCATTTTAGTAAAACTGGACAATAATTATGGGAAAAAGGGAGTAAAACAAAAAACCTACTAGGAAGACTTACAAGGAATGATAGTACATTGTTTATTTAAAACTTTCCGTCTACAGTTTATACATTTAAGGTTAAAGAATGATTTACATCTCATTTCTTGTCTTGTTGTTTTTTTTGTCATTTTTTCGATACATGTATCGCTACTCATTTTATGAAGAGACAACTCCATTAGCTTAGAAATTAGAATAAATATAATAAAACTAGCTAAGTAACTAATTGTGTTGACATGGGTCATAATTTTACCCCAGATATAATCGTTTAATCTTACAAAGATTATCATAATCTTTTATGTGAAAGGAAATAGTGACCTCATAAGTTAGATGGATGCTACAAACCAACTCAAATAATCCGATTTGTTTCACTATTTAATTACTCCTCAAAATCTTATTAGTGAAACGTCTTTGTTGTTTGGTTTTTTGGATGAATTTTTTCAAATTATTTTAATAACTGTCTCATATCAACATACTTTTTTATATTTTCAATACACTTTTTTACATTCTCAATACAAAAAAAACACCTTATAAAAATACACACTAAAAAACGAAACAAACATACCCATATTTCGTCATTAAGATCATCAGTATCTTCCCAGAAACAAAGGTCTCGATTTCCACAAAGTATGTTAGCTAATAACTCACCTTTCTTTTTTCCCATTTTCAAAAGAAAAAAAAAACCTTTTTTTCTTCTTTTGAAAATGGGAAAAAAAAAAAACCTTTTTTTCTCTGGTCACATGTTTAGTTCACATGAGTGTCATGTAAACCATAAACCACAAAAAAAAAACACTTTTAACAATGTGTCTTGTTTGTTTCGTCCACGTATGAAAACAAGATTGCTGGTAGCACTCCCTCTCTCTCTATTCTCTATTTCGACAAGCGGAAAAAAAAAAAAAGAAGAAGAATTTAAAAAAAAAAAGAAAGTTGCAACAGACACAGTTGGAGATTTAAAAACAGTTACTTTTATTTTTTTGGTAAAGAAACGACTATACTAATTGACAAGATGGTTCAGTCAATACTTTAAAATTCCCGGAAAATATATAAAAAAGCAAACCCATAAATTGTACCCAGAAAAAAAAAAAGGGAGAAAAAAACAAAACATTACTGCATGCGTCTGAAAATTCTATAAATATAATAGTAAGATTATTTTTCTCAAGAAAAAACAGGTTCTGAATTAATTGACGTTTTCCACAAAGTGGGTGTGTTTGTTTATTCCAGACATTTGTCACCTCTATACTTACATAGTAAAAACAATGTTTAGTTTTTAAAAAAGATTTTAGCAGAAATTAAGGATGAAGAGATAGATTTGTTTGTTGCATATGAATTAGTAAATAACAATCACCTGCCGGACTTTCTGGAAATCATCCAAAGCCTTATTGGAAAAAAGATGCACGGAACAAATTTTCCTGAGCAATCTCCAGCGGGGCCCATAGGGCGCAAAAACAAGGTCCTGGTAATTATAAGCAATATGTTTGGCGCCGGAGTTGGGCGGCCGGCTGGAGAAATTGGAGTCGTGGGATTTCAAGAACTGGGCGGCGGCGGAGGCGGAGGCGGCCACCACCACGTGGACGTATCCCAGCCGGAGGTGCATTAATGGGCCATATTTCTTGGCCATGGAGGCCAAGGAATGGTGTGGTTTTGTCCCCAAGTGTGGGAGATTGCCTAAGATTGGCCATGGATTTGGTCCAGGTGGGAATGGCTTATTTTTGGAGGATTTGATGTAGTTGAAGAGGATATGGATTATGAGATAGGCTATAAGTAGTGAAGTGATGAAAGTGAGATCCATATCAAAGTGAAGTGGTTTTCGTGCTGCTTTTTTGGGGTTTTGTTTCTCAGAGGATTGGTATTTATAGAAATGGTCAAACGGTGGTGGGAAATGGTATTGGGGATGGAAAGGTTATGAGTTGTGACGTGTAATTTCACTTACTTGGGTGTCAGCGACACTATTAAATGTTGTATTCAATAAACTGAAAATTAAAAAAAGGTATGATCCTCACTTACTCCACTAGTAAATATTTTAGTATTTGATTTTATATCTTCTTGTGTTATAGTATCAAAAATGAAAAGATTAAGAAGATTAATTAATTAATTACTACTATGTACTTAATGCTAGAAGATGCCATCCGTGAGCTAACAACTATAGACCACAGTCTTCTTTATTTTATTTTTTTGAAAAAAAAAAAAAAGTCATTTCCCACTAAGATAGTTCTTGCATTCTGATTAATCACTATCACCTGAACCATCTAAACAACGAGTAAATCTTCAATACTGTCACTTCGTACAAGATGATATAATTGAGGGGAGAGTGCTGATTTAATAGGAGGAAAAACATATATGAGGCCAAAAAACACTAATTGGTTGGTTGCTTTAAAATTGTGCATATATGTCTACTTTATACTAGATTTTTCCGTAAAATAAATAACATAATTGTTCTTATTTTTCTCATTGCAAACATAACGTCATTATTAATTTATTAATAGTTGATTATGAGTATTAAGCAATATCATTTATACCATTTAATGTGTAGTTTAAAAAAAAAAAAAACTTATACACTCGTTAAGTGGCCGCCATTTCAAAAGAAAATAAGCATGTTTTTAAAATTATTTTCATTATTATCTTATTACTATGTACTTCCTCCATTCCAAAATAAGTGTCGTTTCAGTAAAATGGAAAAATTTCAAAATAAGTGTCGTTCTCATATTTTAATGCACTTTTTGTCAAAAGTTTCCAAAATTACCCTCAAAAGAGTTGATGCTATTGGTGGACAATTTTATAATGGGGTTGGTTGAGGATATTCAAGTAATTTTATTACCTTATTTAAGAGTTTCTTCAACTATGTGCAAAGTGTAGGACGACACTTATTTTGAAATGGAGGGAGTACACTAATATCGTCATGCATACATATTTCATACTAATAAGAAAAAAAAAAGTTTGTATGAAAAATTGGAACAATAAAAGGAGAGGAGCCTAGCATTATTTCTGTCTGAAACACGCCAAAATCGAAAAAAATGGGACGTCGGGAGTTGAGGATTTTTTATTATTATTTAATATATTTTCTTAATTTCAGCACTAGGTACACTTTTATAAGCAAAAGAGATCGTGTCACACAGATACAAAATTATTGGAAATGGTTCTATCGGGGATTGAGGACTTTGGTAGGTTCCATTTGACTGTTAATTATTGGAAATGCTCTTTTTTGGGTTAGGTAGCATATGCAGAGGAAACCTACGCGACGTGGCCAAGTAATTTTGCTCCTACTCCTATTTGTTTTCTTTTGTTTTTTCATTTAAAAAAGGAAAGTGCCAAAGTTGAAACAGCTACACCCTTTCAGACGTAACTTTGCTGGGCCATTGACTCCTATTATTTTTTCTCTATAAAAATAATTATCGTATTTATTACTCTCTCTTCTAACAAATAATTCACATTGAGTTTTGAAATTTATACTAAAATTAGTACAAATATTAAAACTAAATATGGATTTTTTTTTTGAGACTGAGGTGGCATATAACAAAAAAAGTTTAGAAATGAGAAAAATAACATTTTATACGAAAAGAATGTTACTATTGAAGACAGTGTTGTCAAGCTCGACTCGGCAGTAGTCAGGGGTCGAACGATTGGGGGGCGGGGGCGACCCTATACAATTCGAAGGTCGACTCAGATGACGTCATCATGATGTAATAAATATTAAAAATTAATAACTATATTTTTAAATAAAATTTTATAGATTATATATATTTGTTAATTGTTAAAGTCAAATTAGGCTTCATAACTTTTAAATGGGTTTTTATGGAGCAAACTTATGACATTACCTAGACTATTAGTTTAGATTAGCTTTTATTATATTAAATTTGCTATATAATTGACTTTTATCATTAAAAATATTACATTATATGTTTAATCAATGAATTCGGTAATAATTTTTTTACGTTAGCTTTTTTTTTTTGGCCTCCTACCCTACAGGAAAGCAAATGACTACCGATAAATCCGCTGTCCTGAGGGTTTGTAGGGTAAGCAAATGGCTACCGATAAATCTGTTGTCCTGAGGGTTCGAACTCGCGTCACCGCGATGAATGCCAAAACCCTTACCACTTGGTTCAACCCCTTATTGGCTTTACTTTAGTTTAAAATGATGAATATTGCTCAATTTATTTAGTTTATAATATTTAACCTTAGTTCAAAATGATGGTTATTATTCAATATGATATTTGAGATGTGAGATGAATGACTAAATTAAATTTTAGATTTAAACATTTGAAATTATGCGTTTAATTAAATCACACAAATATAAAAGCTATGGGTCTTTCATAACATAAAAAATCTAATTGAGGGTCAAAAGTTAAAAAATCATATTCAATACACTTCAAATGTAGTGAAAAAATTTAGGAAATTTTAAAGAGTAAACCAAAAGTCAAACCCGGTTTACGCGGATTCTATCGATTCTCAGTTTAACCGGAAATTTGACCAAGTCATAAACTAGGCTTAGCAATTTAGCGTTATTGGTATCACAAGGCCTAGGAAAAGAAATATAATTTAATTGGGATGCCTTACCACAATGGACTAATATTAGGTGTCTTGCTTCTCCATTTGTAAAAAAAAAGAAAAGAAATATAGTCAATATCCTTATTCACGAAGAATAGAGAAACCAGAAATACAGTTGTGTCCCAAATAAAAGTGTCTGCTTTCATAAACTAGTCATTTCAGGCTTTTCGCAAATAGAGATTTGGTTCTAAGAGGATTGAATTGTGACAGAAGACCAAAGACTATCAAAGGGTAATAAAAGAGACACACAGACTAATCATTTGTACTCTTTCCATCCCGAAATAGTTCAGAAGCATCAGTTCTCCTTCATTTATCATTCTCCAGTGGTCTATATGGCTTTTAATGTGAATGAAAATTCAAGTATAATCGTAATAATCATTTGGGGTCTGTAGATATAGCTGAGTAATTGGTTGTTGCCTATTGCTATCAAGTATGAAGCATTTGTATAGTTTGTTGGGTTCGGTTAGTTTGCCATTCCAATTGCCAAATATTACCATGTACATGTAATTCAGGTGGATGCATGGAAAAAGTAAGATAACCGAAGCTAATCAAAGAAAATAACACGCACGACGGAGAAAATATATTACATTTATCCGAAATTTGGTGATTACTCATGGATACAAATAAATAGACACTTTCGAACTTATAAAGAAGAAAAATGTTAAAAAAGACTACGAAACTACCGAACGAAAAAGCTCTCAACATCTTCAAATCGAAATTTGGCAAATTACAATTCAACGTTCGGGGTTTGTTGCTATCTGAGTTGCAGTTATTGATCGACAAAACTCATAATAAAGTCCAAAGAAGAAAGACCAAATTGAAAATTGAGAAAATCCAACCACAAAGACCTGAAGAATGGCAGAAGGAGGAAAGTTTGTTGGGGGTGGAGGTTAGCTTTTAATGGACGATATATGATAGTAGTAGTTATCCAATCAAAATAACCACAAATCAGGAAATAATTTATAAATAAGTTTGTGCTAATGCAATTTTTTTTTACTCCCTCCGTCCCAAAAAAAATAGTTCTACGAATTTGAAAACTTAATGTGGACTTTTTTTTGGGACGGAGACATCATAACATATGATGATGAAAATAAGGATTAAAAAATAACTTCATATACCATTCCTCTTAAAACTTAAGTATAAATAATTGGGGAATAATCAAATACGTACTATAGATTTGTATATATGAATGTTTATTCCCAACCAAATTATTGGGTATACGATGATAGCGACACATGAACAAAATGAATTTTATTTTTGGTAATTTGTAAATTGATTGATTGAGAGAATTTAAGAATAGAGAAGAGGCATACATATAGGTAAATTTTCAATAAAAAAAAAAGTTGGTGGCACTTGTGGATAAGAAAATGGTTACACTTTATCTCAAAAAAGAAAGATCCAACGAATCTCTATATGCTTTTGTGATCTTTGGCTTTGCACATTAGTTTTCTTTCTTTCAATAAATAAATCATATCTGTTGTACTATATTTTTTTTTTCTTTCTTTCAATAAATATCATATTTATTGTACTATTTTAGTTACGTTTTTTAGGAGGCGGAACCAGTTGGGTGGGTTTGAAGGTTAGAAAAAAGAGGAAATCAGCTGTAAATGTAAAATGATATTGTACTGTCAATTACAATATCAAGACCAAAAACCATTCAGACTGCCTATTTACAATTTTTATTGTTCGCTTAACCCACCAAAGCATAAGGTGGAAGCAGCAGAGCCCAATATCCATTATAGTTCTTCAGACCAATATTACAAAATACAGTTCATCAACCCGACTCTGCTGATCATCAAAATTAGCAGAAGCCAAAGCAAGCTTTATAAGTAGTTTACTAGTTAAAACCAAGGATTCCTCTAATCATCCATCATTTCATCATCATCATCTATCTCTTCAATCTTCATCTTCTTCACAGCTTGAGCAGCATCAGACTTGTTGAACCCATTGGGGAGTTGGATTAGTATGTCTGATTTTTGTCCAGTGCTGGGATTCACTAGCCCTCCATTCTTCTCCACTTTGTAGGCAAGCTCTTTCTTGTTGTAAGCCGCGTCGATGTACACGGTCGAATTCTCGTCTATCTCACCCTTCACCAGCATCTTGGATAGCTCGGTGACCACCTTCTTCTCCAGCCATCTCCTGATTGGTCTAGCGCCGTAAACCTGATATACACAGAAGTTGCAGAGGTCAGTCAACTGAAAGGAGTAATTCCAGGTTAGAAATCACAAAGACCAGCTGAAAAGAAATTGGAATACTCACTGGATCATAACTCTCGGCTAAGATCACGTCGAGTGCAGCCTCGGTGACAGCCAATGCAATTCCTCTCTCAGCTAAGCGGCCAGCCACATCTTTCATTTGGAGGCGGCAAACTTGTCTCAATTGATCATGCGCAAGAGGGTCAAAGACCACAATTTCATCAAGCCTGTTCAGAAGTTCTGGCTTGAAGTGCTTCCTCACCTCTTGCATCACCATCTCACGAGCACTTTCAATTGTACATTTACCAGAAAGGCCTCTTAGGAGATACTCAGCTCCAAGATTTGAAGTCATGATGATAACTGTGTTTGTGAAGTCGACAGTGCGGCCTTGGCCATCAGTGAGTCTTCCATCATCAAGAACTTGGAGCAAAGTGTTGAACACTGTCGGATGCGCCTTTTCTACTTCATCAAATAAAATCACACTGTAAGGCCGCCTCCTCACAGCTTCAGTGAGTTGCCCACCTTCCTCGTGTCCAACATACCTAAACAAGAAAAAGAAATAGATGGGTTTAGTAACAAAACCACAACTCTAAAGCACCAAGAGATAATCCAAACTAGATGACAATCATCTGATATAGCACTTAGAAATTAGAACTTACCCAGGTGGAGCTCCAATTAGACGAGCAACTGAGTGCTGTTCCATGTACTCGGACATATCAATCCTTATCATAAGCTTATCATCGTCAAACAACTGCTCTGCTAAAGCCTTGGCAAGCTCGGTTTTACCAACACCAGTTGGTCCCAAGAAAAGGAACGAACCAGTTGGTTGCTGTGGCCTTCCCAAACCAGCCCTCGACCTCAACACAGCATCTGCAACAGCTTTGACTGCATGATCTTGGCCAACTACTCGTTGATGCAACCTATCAGCAAGACCAACAAGTCTTTCACTCTCATTTTGGCCAAGACGTGTAACTGGTATACCAGTCCAACGGCTCACAACCTCTGCAATTTGATCTGGTCCAACTGTCTCAGTTAGAATTCCCCCCACTTCTAGGGTATCTGCTTCCAGTTTTGTCAAAGCAGCCTCAACTTCCTGGATTGCACCGAATTTCAAATCTGCTGCGCGAGCGAGGTCGAATCTCCTTTCAGCTTCTTGCAAAGCGACTAATAGTTCATCCCTCTTCCTCCTAAGTCTTCGAAGCTCATCAACCCTTCCCTTTTCTTTTTGATACTTCATTTGGAGAGGCTGCAGTTTATCTCTCAAATCATCTAACTCCTTCCTGACCTGCAAAGGAATTTATAAGTCGGATCCTTGAAACCAAAAATCAAATAACAGGAGTTTGAATGATCATATCACAACAGAGTACTCACTTCAACTAGTCGGGCTTTGCTTGCTTTGTCTTTCTCCTTCTCTAGGGCATGTAGCTCAACCTCCAATTGGATACGTTTCCTCTCAAGATTGTCAATCTCTTCAGGCTGGCTATCCAACTGAACCCTCACATTTGCACAGGCCTCATCAACCAAGTCAATTGCTTTGTCAGGCAAATGTCGACCTATACACAACAGAAAAATTCAGTGAACCCCTCTAGAAAGTAAGATTTAAAACACTAACAAAAAATTATTCATTTTCCCTAGACATATCAAAAACTTAATAGAGGATGTGGAATGAGCCTCATACCTGTTATGTATCTAGCTGAGAGTTGAGCAGCAATAACAAGTGCTCGATCTTGAATTCGAACACCATGATGAGCTTCATATTTCTCCTTCAGCCCACGAAGAATGTTGATTGTGTCAGCCACACTAGGCTCAGCAACATAGACTTGCTGGAAACGTCTCTCAAATGCTGCATCTTTCTCCACATACTTCCTGTATTCATCCAATGTTGTGGCTCCAATGCATCTTAACTGGCCTCTAGCAAGCATTGGCTTGAACAGATTTGCAGCATCCATTGACCCTTCAGTTCTACCAGCACCCAGAACTAGGTGAATTTCATCGATGAAGAGAATGACTTTCCCCTCAGCATCCTCAACTTCCTTCAAAACAGCCTTCAACCTCTCTTCAAATTCACCTCTATATTTGGCTCCGGCAATCAGTGCTCCCATATCCAGTGCTATTACCCTCACATCAGCCAGGTTGCTTGGAACATCACCACTAAAAATTCTCTGGGCCAACCCTTCAACAACTGCAGTTTTTCCCACACCGGGTTCTCCAATCAGCACTGGATTATTCTTGGTCCTTCTGGAAAGAATCCGAATGACCCTTCGAATTTCGTCATCCCTTCCAATTACAGGATCAAGCTTACCAGCCATCTCCACAAGATCCCGACCATAAGTCTTAAGTGCTTGGAAATTTGAGTCTCCTGAAGCACTCTCCACTTTTCTATCATCCTTGCCTCGCAATTTCTTAAGCTCTGCAGTCACTTTAGAGATAGTAAGTCCAGCTTCTTTCAGAAGATCAGCAATTTGGGAATCCTCCAGAAGGCCCAAAATCAAATGATCAACTGCTAGATGTGAATCGCCACGGGACTTCTGCAGTGATTGTGCCCGTCTTATTGCCTTAATCAATGACGTACTGGCAGGAACATCGTCAGGAGGAGGGGATTGAGAAGGTAGCTTCTTCAACGCCTGATTCACAACCCTCTCACCGGCTCTTGCAGCCTCTTCACCACCTCCAGCATTGTTCAAAGCTTGGCGGAAGATTCCATTTGCGTCAGATAACAAATAGGCAGCAATATGAAGTGGGGTGATTTGTGCATGGCCAGCATTCACAGCCAATTCATGTGCTCCAGCAAGGGCCTCATTAGTCTTGTGGGTAAATTTCTCAGGATTCATTCTCAACTGTTAATTAATTCCTACAAAAATCAAGCAACCGTCAAAATTTGTCAAAATTCAAAGAGCATCACGTCAAACTCTGATTATAAAACAAAACAACATCGCCCAGAATCACTCATATAAAAGGAAATTGAAAAGAGCCCCATACTTATAAATGATATATTAGGCACTCCCAAAAAGAAATTAACAATTGCAGGATCGTTCTATCCATTACATTAAAACTACAACAAGAAGACCATGTTTATGCAGAATTACTCAACAATTACACCAACAGATACACAAATAAATAACACTGATATGAAAAGAAAAACACGGAATTAAGCTACACGATACATTCATAAACTGAGAAACTCGACAACACAAATACACGCAAGAACAACAGAACAAACAATCTTTCCCGTCGATTTCAAACCAACCCAGAACAAAAAAAGGTGGAAAAAATCGAAACCTTAAACTTCTTTGAATAAATCAGGGCTCAAAAATCAGAAATCATACCTTGTGAACAGAGTCCTGTACTTGCAAGCAATAGAGAAGCCGAAAATAGGACGCTCAGCAATACAATGACAAACGGTTCTGCTCGAAACTTGATGAAGATCAACAAAAATTGAAGAAAAATTGATATAAGAATATGTAATTGATATATGGAGTTCGTAATCGGAAGAACGATTGTGCTTTTTTTTTGGGTCGGAAACAGATATCTGAGGAAAAATTTGGAGTGGGAATGGCCTTTTTGTTGAGGCGAAAGAGACAACTGGAAGTGTGAAGGTTTTACTAGAAGCTGCTAGACATTTTTGCCGAATCCATGTCTATTTTCGTCATTTCCTTCCTTTTTGGTGGTGGTCGGTGGGGTATCTATTTTCGAAGAAAGTAACTAGAAGATCCTCGAGACTGGTCTTTAATTCTTTATTAATAATACTCCAAAAATAATAAATTAAATTTAAAAATTTATTAATGAATTATAATTGTGTTTGTTTCTTTGGGTAAAATTTTCAGATAATTTGATTTTTTCCTTTCTTGGGGTATCGGAAATTCAGAATAGTAGAATTTGTAATTTCTTCTCTTTATTACTCCCTCCATTTTGAAATATATGCCGTTTTAGGATTTAACGAATTTTTTTAAATATATGGCGTTTTCACAAATCGAGGCATATTTGACTACTTTTTACCAATATTACCCTTGCATTGGAAATAATAATGAATTTTTATTGGTTTATGATGGATTATATAGACAATAAATAAGAGTATTTTTATATTTTAATTACATTAATTAATGTTTTCTTGGTTTTGATGATTTTTCTAGAAAAACATGTAAAAAAAATGGAAGAAGTACCATCATTGTGTAATTTTTATATTCCCTATAAAAATAATAAAAATTTACAATCTTAAGTAAATTGATGATAAAGCAGTATTTGTTTTTCATTAGTAATTTGTGCGTGGTTGGAATAAGCAACATATATATTTTTACTTTTTCATATTTATATTTAATCGTTCTAATTGGTGTAGAATATTGGATATTGCATAATCATGCAAATCATGTAAAGAATAATTCATGCGTTCGATTTACATTATATTGATATCAAATCATTCATAAGAAGATCAAATTCATTGAATAAATTAAATGATGATGAAAACTTTAACCAAAAATTTTTCGAAAACTGTACAATAATTTTAATTTTCTTCTCTTTTTATAAATTTCCAAAAAAATAGGGGACCTTTTGTTCATTGTTTCTCTCTGAGAATAGCAATCCACGTGTTAAAGTTCTAGCACATTTTAGAAGAGTGTAGTTACCTAACTGCCCCTGGACACAAGTCAATCACAATCAAGTCAAGTATACTGTCCTTTCTGAACAGAATGATTACGAGTAAATACATGCTCCTTCCGCTATTTCAATTTCTTTCTCTTCTTTTATTTAACCCAAAAAAAATTACTCCTATCTTCTTCATTCATTACTCTTTTTACTAAGAAATTTTTTAAATTTTTTTAAAAATAAATCAGTAATTTCAAGTAAATTAATTTCATCAGTTTTTAAATCCTATTAATTTAAGACTTATTTTCATTTTATAATTAGAATGTACCAAACTGTAGCTCTGCTTTTATGACTGATTTTCGTAATACCAATAAACATTTAATCAAAGAAATGAATAAATATCTCCATTATCAATGTTTTCCTCAAAACTTTTCATAATAATCCCTTTCAATCCCTAATCACAATTGAAATGTTCACAAACTCGTATTTGTATACCATATACATTTCATATTATTATTATTATCTATTAAGATTTATTTTCTGATTGTTCGTTGTTATTTAAGATGTCATCGCAGTTAGTAGATTAATTACATCATAGTTTGATTATCTTATCAAGTTATTCGGTAATAAAATTATTAAAATGATGATCTAAAAGTTGGATTAAATTGTGATTAGAGCGTGATGTACGAATCACGATCAAACATAATTTATTGGTGATAAAATTATTAAATTAATTATCTAACAGATGGATTAAATTATGGTACGTGACCTTAAAATGTATAAATAAAACTCTTCAAAATTTTGAATTCCTGTTAAATAAAAAATACAAATAAAAATAAAAAGTTTTACGTAATCACTTGAGGCCCTCCAAAAACACTAAAAAGCTCCCAATTTGAAATTCGCTTTTGCTTTTGAGCCACCCCTACTGAGTATTTTCATTTCTAATTACGCAACTTTCTCCTTATATTTTCAATAGGTTATATTAATGACAACCATTTACTAATACTACTTTTTTATTATGATTTTTATACATTTTACAGAACAACATGTGTAATATACACTTTTAAATTTAAAATTTACAATTGTTATTATTTTTTATTAATGTGCACACCATAATCTGACATATAAAAAAAATGAAATAACAGTAATACACATACAACTACAACTAGCGAAGAAATTGATCCACAAAAACCAAGTAAAAAACTCTACACTTAGCAAAAGTTCAATCATTTTTTCAAGAGTTGGATCGTTAGAACCCTTTTGAAAGAATATTTTAAACTTGTCATTTACGCAGAGCCTATAAGTTACTGATATTTGTAAAGATTTTGCAAGAAGATTACCTCGCTCAAAGAAAAAATTTATTGTCTTTTCCACACTTTTTAAGTTCTAAACCCATGATATAAAACATTTATTTACAAATAAACCAAGTTGAAATCGATTACTCCCCCGTCCCAAAATTATTGTCCAGTTTGGATATTTATTTATGGTATAAAATGAACTAAAAGTGAAAAACTAAACTGGACAATAATTTTGGGACGGAGAGAGTATTATTTAAGAAGGCTATATTATGCTAACCTTTAATTTCAAAAGAAAAAAAAAAGAATAGGAAAAGAAAAAACGCGGCAATCTAACGGTAATATCCCAACTGACGCTGACTAGGTCTTTGCCCTAATGATCCAATTCCTAATTCCTCATCCAACTGCCTCCGCCACTTTGATCATAAAAATCATAATCTCTTCTCAAAATCGCACCGCCATTTTTACTCTGCATCCGCATTCTCAATTGTGCTTCTCAGTTCCGTAACTCCGCTTGCAAGTTTCAATAGCTTCTTGATCGGTGAGTGTATCTGCTCTTCTCCGTTTCTTTCTTTTCGTTCCCACTCTTTTAGAGTGTAATTGCGGCGGTGTTTTTGTTCAATCAATTGCTTAATTACTGCGTTCATCTTTGATCTTGGGTCTTTTCTGGTAGATCTCAGATCTGTTTTTAAGTAGTTGATATTTTATTTTTCCGGTAGCGGTGAATTTCTTTGTTCTGTTCACAGAATCCCTTTTAGTCTTGGGTCATAATTTTTCTCTGTGATACTGGCATTGATCAAAACTCTGCGTAGATCTGGGTTTCTTCAAGTTATTGATTTAGGGTTTTCTGGGTATCTCTTTCTGGGAGGTAAAGATCTGTTCTTTTACGCTCTTGCAGAAGTTCTTCCTCTGTTTGCTAATGTTCTTTGTTTTTCACGATTAAGAAGCCCTTTTAATCATTGAGTCATATAGTTGATTCTTTTCTGTTCAATTCACTGTAGTTTCTCAGTTTCCTGCATAAATCTGGCCTGGGTTCTTTGATTCTTTGTTAAGAAGAAACTCTTTTGATCTTTTGAGTTGGGTAACTGTTATTTCCATCGTACGTTGTGTGTTGTCCGTGCTAGTTGTTGCTGGGCATTATGAGGTCAAATAGTAAGCTTAAATTTTCGTCGACAAAACTGATAATGAATGGCCCATCCTCCCATGGAAGTAAATCTGTGGATGAGGGATCATTCTTCCTGGTCTCAAACGGTTTTGGGGGAAAATCTATGGAGAATAGGCCATCTCTTCCACGTTCAAGCAATTCACAAGCTGTCAATGAGTCATTCTTTCCAAGTAATTGCATCAAATCCAATAAAAAGCAAAAATTAGCATCTGCTGACCCTATTTCTGCTGTTTCAAGTGATGCACAGGTTGAAATGGCTTCTCCCATTATTCATGATGATGAAGCTTTGGAAAAGGCACTACGTGCTGCCACTTTGAAGTGCCGATTTGCTGAATTAATTGCCAAAACAAAAGGAGACAAGACTTTTCCTAAGAAAGTGCAGCAAGAAAGAGAGAAGTTGGTAAAAGTTCAGAGTGGAAAGGATGCTGCGAAAGCGGCACAGAAAGAGGTTGAAAGGAAAGAGGAGATCCAGAAAAAACGGGAACTTGCTCGTCTTGCATTGGAAGAGTTAGAAAGGTCGGTTCAAGGCAGTTTTTTTGACGAGATGAAGGAGCTGGAGAAGTGTACGAATAGCTACCCAAGTTACATTCGCCATGGAGATGTTTTCAAAACAGTTTGGATAGATTTGACATCTGGGACGATTGTCTTTGAAGGATTGCCAAGTATTCTGGAATATAAGATTTCTAATGATGATGATGATGATGATGATCCATACCTTTGCTGCAAAAAGAAACATGGTTGTGAAGTACTTGATCAATCTTGGAGCAGTGAAAAAGAAAAAAGCAAGACTCTGGATCCAATTTCGAGGTTTAACAGCAACAAGCATGAGATGTCTAATGTTTTCTCTAGCCATAAAGGAGTGAAAAAAGAAGCTGTCAGCTCTGATGTGGAAGCTGGTGAGATTATTGATCCTGATGATGATGAGCCACTCATTGGCTGCAACTATAGACATGGTTGTGAAATACTATATCAACCTTGGAATTGTGAAGGAGAAAAAAGTGAGATATTGGATCCAGTTTCTAGCTATGGGAGCAATGAGCTTGAAATATCGAATCTGCTCTCTCACAACAGAGGAGAAAAGGCTGTTAGCTCTGATGTTGAAGATGGTGAAATCATTGATGCTGATGATGACCCACTCCTTAGTCACACTAAAAAAGATGTCGAAATTGAACTGTATCCACTCTCGAGCTGCAACAATGAAGATGATGGTGAAATGGTAGAGCACTCTTGGAGCAGAGAATGCGAGGAGGGTGAGATATTGGATTTGGTTTTGAGCTGTAAGAGGCACCAACGTAAGACATCGAATCTGTTCTCTAGTCATAAAGGAGAAAAAGTGGTCAGCTCTGATGTAGAAGATGGTGAAATATTGGACTAATCATGCTGCCGTTGTGATCTGTGAAATGCTACTTTATACGGGGAAGGAAGTTTGAACTTGACATTTTGCGGGAGGCAATATCTTTCTGCCCGATTGACTGTTTCTATTCAGATAACAGGCCTACCCCGTCTCAAAATGATTATCTTTTGTCCGTAGTCATTTTGGGATAGAGTGAGTAGTTGTGTTGTGTTGAGTTCGAGGGCAATGATCTCTATTGTATCAAGTGTGTACAATATTTCCTGCAGAAAAAATGACATCCCATTTGGGTATTCTGCACCGCCACAATTTGATTCCCCTTTGTTGTGCTTTGTGCAAGCAAAAGCTTGTTTAACAGAACTTCAAGAATAAGAATTTGAGCATTACCTTTTCTTTTCTGGTTTTTTGGACAACAAGGCATTACCAATTGTTTGCTAGAAACAGCCAAGTCTTCAACAGCGACTAATCGAAGATGGAAATAGCTTCAACAAACCGTCTGATGGAACCAAACGAGAATATAAACAGAGAAATGGTTGCAAAAGCGAGTTTTACTATGAACTCCGGAACCTTCAAGTTGTACGCCAGATGAATAGAAAAACCATATAAAACTCCCAGAAACCTAATTTAAAAGGAGTTTTCACCACTTAAATTAACAAAATCGAAAAATGTTATTAAAGAAAATATCGGGGTAAAAATTTTATTTCACCTCAAAAAATACCAAGTTACATGTTGTAAATGAGGTTAATTTACTAATGTAAAACAAAGGAATAATTACTATAAAAGTTTCTCCCTCGCTACTCATATATCCTTTACATCCAACGCTTGGAAACTTCTTAGCATGTGGCCACTGAGATGTGAAAGCTTTTGATGTCAGCATCTGAAATTAAGTAATGACTCACACGGATCTCCAGCATTGATTCGCTTTGACTGATATCTATCCGCAAAGTACCCTGCATAATGGAGAAACATATTATATACTGGGGGAACGAAAACATAATTTGACAATTAGATGGTTTTCCTTTATTTCAATTTTCAATCAAGCGGTGCAATACTTGCCAAAATTGAGCTATAATGTTTGCCCATTCGAGGACAATATAGGCAACACAAAGAAAAACTTATCTGATCTTCCAGACAAGCTTTTCTGCATAATTTCACGGCTCCAAGTATGGAAAGTGAAAAAAAAAGAAGTGTATAATGTTCCTTGCAACCACGGAGAACTACATGATGCTATAGTATAATGCACTCATACAGACAAGAATCACAGACATATGGGGGACTACAACAGTTCACAAATCCTAACTTCTTTTCCACCTCCGAAATGTCACATTCAATCTTGGTCGAAAGCTAACTCAATGGGGGATGGGACGCTCGGATCTCATAAATGCCACCTACTCAATTCGATTTTTCTCACAAGCCAAATTATTTACTTACTACCATCCGAGTGTACACAATAAAATTAAGGCACCAAAGGTTATAACTTTACTGCAGCTACTAGACTGCTCACTCAATTACCAAATGAGAGAACAATTCGCCATGTTTTCCAAAAAAAGAATATAGAACCAAAAAGAAATCCAATTACACAACTCAGAAGTCCGCAAAAAAATACGCAACCATTAACTTTTGAAAAGGAATTGCAAACTAAGCACAAAAACTATGATCAACTGAGGCAGCCACATGGAAAAAAGTATAAAATGAAAAAAATATAAGGGTATTCAGGAACCAGGTAAAAACAACAATTGAAGTTATCCTTGAAGAGATTTAATGGGTAACCATTCTTGACAACAAGTACAGAAAAGATACGGAGACTTAAAGTGTTCATTAACAATACAAGCAAGTATAAATCCCTGAAGGAGTCAACTTTCATAGTACTTGAGATGTTCAGAGTCAATTCACAATTACAAAGGCAGAAATGTAATCAAGCAGTTGCAGTTTTTGTTCTGGCCGTATTAGGAAAAATTTACAAACAATTGCCTTAATAAGACATGCTAATGATGCAGTATTTAAAAGGAATTACTCACTTCTCTTGCAGTATCCTACAGGATAGGTTAATCCTCTTCGTCACTAATAACCATCGCCATCCGACGCTGAGGTGCAACTTTCCTTGGAGGAGAGTCTTCATCAGACTCAATCGCTTTTCGCTTGAGACTTGATCCACTTTCCTTCATTTTTCTCTTTGGCTCCTGGAGAATCCGACTCATAAATTAGTACAAATTAACAAATAATTGGTTTGGAGAAAAAACACCGCTCGTGGAATGCAAAATAATCCTAATAAAATGGAACATATAGGTCTGGAGAAAAAACACCGCTCGTGGAATGCAATATAATCCTAATAAAATGGAATATATCCAAAGAGGCAAAATATCAGGAAAAAATACACCGCTTACTGCCCAAATTAATGAAGGTAAAGATGGAATAGATGATCACATTAGTAACTAAGAGAAGACTGTTTTGCCATGACACGCTGTCAGTCTATCCAATCCAAAGTTGACAGGCAAAAAGTTGAGGTGTGCGAGTTCATATAATTGGACCTAAAGGGGGGTCGTAGAAAGTTTGGTTACCTAGCAAACTCAAAAAACTTGGACTGGATTGGGTTTGGTGACTTGGCAATTTGTAAGATTTTTTTTCAACCAAACCTACACGGAACCTGTGCCTGAAATTCAGGCGAAGAGGTTTCAATAGTAATGGACCTTAACTAATCTGCATCACTAAACGAAATTAATAAACCCAAATAAAGAATAATGCTTTTTGTTACATAAATCAGGCTAAAACCAACAAGTTCTCGGATCACTGCAGGCTCGTACATAAATAGTGATTGGCACTAAGTTGGGTCAAGCTAGTAAATGTAATGGGCTTACATTAATACAATATTCAAATTTTAACTAGGGTAAAGATCACAATTACGCCCTAGTTTGGTCCACAAATCTTACGTGCAACACTAGGGGTATGTTTGGGCTTGAAAGGATCCAGGTGACCATTAACGCCAAAGCCAAGTGCAGCTTAACCTTTGAAGCTTTGGTTCCAGTCAGCTAAATGGCATCCTAGTCGGGAAACAAACATTGTGAACATCCCTTATTGTAGATAATAAGATTCATTTTCCTCCAAATTTTCCTTTTTGGTTTCTTCAACAGACAAATTAACAAAGTACCAAAAACAATATACACAAGCCATTAATTCAAAGACAAATACCAATATTAAAATTTTATTTCCTTTATTAGAAGAAAGAAAATCGTGTCAGGCCTGAGTGGTTCTACATGTCCTCCGAAGGTAGGATATCAGTGAGAGAAAAGATAAGAATAAGATCTGTCAGTAATTTTCTAATTCTGTCAACAGAAATCAAAATTATATATATAAAAAAACAGGATCTTCAATCAAACTGTAAAAAAGGTAAGTGCAATTAAACACTCGCATACTGTCATATTGTTTCACATTTTAAGCACCTTCAATATAGATATTTTCAGTTCACATATCTGATGCGCAGATAATCCAAAATCAGAAGGAAACCTCTGAGGACCACATGTTAGTAACAGACAAAAAGCACTATAGCTTGAGATTTTGTATTTCATTTTTGTTTACTATATCTGCGTCTTTGCTACTTCTGACTATAGTGCCTGGCTAAAATCTTAGAACACTTCATTACCCAATTTTAGAAGATCTTCATCTCTGAGCAGAGACATTGAATTATTCTAGGCTGAAAACTGGTTCGAAAGATGGTTAGCTGTGTGTAATTTTCCACGATAATTATTTGGACATGGTGTTAAAGGTCAAGCTTTTAGGCTACTTCTTTTAAAAATTGAACTTGCAGAAGCGAAGCCATCAGGATCCTTTTGAGCTCTAGGGGAAAACATAAATCATTTTTGTCTGGAACCGTCTTTTTTTCACTTCTTATCAGGGAAGAATATTCTTTTTTGGAAGGACCAAAACATTATTTCCCGCTCAGATTGGAATACTTAGAAAGATATCAACATCCTCTTCACTAATCAAGCCGAATCGGGAACAGTTTGAAGCAATTGAAAAAGAAAGACTTGCTTGGGGAACTAGAGAAGCCACTCTTATATTCAGTAGAAGAAAACCATGTATCAAGCCATGAACATGCATATACATGAGTCTGCATGGCAGCATCTATGTTATTTGGGTTGGTTTCAAAGTTGGTTTTGCGTTAGAAACTTTAAAAAAAAATTGTAAATATAAAAAAGGTAAATTGCAAAATGAGGAATGAGATGAAACTTAAGAAATAACTGTACAGAGCCACAAAATTCCTAGCAGGTAATTACTTCGGTTATGGTCATTCAACCTCAGATAGTATTTGTTGGGTTAAAGTTATTCCTGATACTCAGTTGCGGTTTTCAGAATAACGAGTAAAATAAGAGCAAATCCAGCTGTTGCTCGGGAGGAAAAACATGGATTAGAGACCTTTGGAGCAGTAATTTATATACTAGAAAAATATACAAAATCATTTCAAGAATGAAGTCAATCAGATACAGCTGCTACCACTTTTCATTTGAAATCACAGCATGAGGTCCCTTATTCACAGAAGAATGAACAGTAGCCAAAAGATCAATACTCCACAGAAGCTTGCAGATAAGGTTTTGAAAGACCAATGCTTCCGACAAAAGAAAAGAAAAGAAAAGATCGAAGAACTAAGCTGCCAGAGAACCCACAAATTAACTTTTGGCACCTAGCAAGATTCTTTCCCAAATGGTAAAGCAACAAAATTCAAATAATTGGTCCCATGTCTCCAACAAGAAGCAGAAATAGAGATGTCCCAAAATTTAGCTTAGCATAATACCAATTTTCTTCAAAGTATCTCAGAATAAAAAAAAATTAAAAAAAAAAAAGACAGCAGGAAGGAGTCTTTCTTAGTTACAATTCTCAAAGCATTCCTCAATCTCCTCACTGAAATCCATGCTCAAGATATTTCAACCTAAAAAGGGAAGTTAGGAACTATTGCTTACCTCTGCCTCCTCTTCTGAAAGCTCATTTGCCTCTTCCTCTGAATAATCCTCTGCCTCCTGTTCTTCAAAATCCTCCTCCATATCCTCTGCCCCACGTCCTGGAGACCTCTCTTCTTCTTCCCCTTCAGTTTCATATTCAGACTCGTCCTTTTCGCTTTCTGAATAATCCAACCGCTGTCTGGATGATTTTGGTGCAGTCATTGATGACTTCCGGAATATATCTTTGTTCCCCTGATAATTTTCATAAAAAACAGACATTTTTCATAAGCATAATTAATATAAAATTGAGATACACGCATAAAAAACAGACATTTTTTTCATGGAATTCAAGAGATGTACCTTCTTTGCATTCATAATACGCCTTTCAGCTCGAGCTTCAAGTTCTAGATCATCCTCAAAGCGACGGCGATTAGACGAGCGCCGAGGTTCAAAATAATCTTCATCTTCCTGTTTAATAAACAGAAGAATATGATCATGGCCACATAAACTGCACCTTGGTCGGAGAAGGAATTAATTCACAGAACACCAATGAAAAGAATAGCAGAAATGTGTCACCTCTTCAAGGGCGTCCTCTAAGAAACCAGGCGAGAGTTGGCGCTCTTTGCGTACTATTGGCGGATATTTGCGAGCCACCTTTTCTTTCTTTCTATTGAGAATTTCATTAGCTCTAATTGTTTGACTCTCCGCCTACAGATTTAATAAGTCAGATGAATTAAACCCGGAGGCAATAGAAAAAGGAGGGACAAAGAGAAACAATAAAAATGAAAAAGAACAGGTCATGACAGCTTAAATTCTTTCATATGTACCTTCTCTTTTTGTTCCTTCTCCCTCTCAGGGTCAATGTCGGTGATGCAATTCTTGACTCTATAGACCTTTTTATGCCGTGAATCAACTAAAGCAGTCAATAGTCGATGAGAATTGGATGACAAAGAAGAGGGCATAAATCTCATTTTCTTCAGAATTCTCCCTTGTGATTGAAGGATTCCCTAAATTGACACCCATAGTAGCAGAAACAAAGGGTTACTTTACACAGTAATCCTGAGGATAATCCAAGAAAATTTCATAGCATGATTTGGTGCAGCATAAATAATGCTTTGCAAGTCAAGTGGGTATACAAACAAAGCCAAAACATGATCTTCCGGTGAAGCAGGATTTTCAAATGCTCAAAAGAGACAACTCTAGGACCAATGAGGAGTCCACGTATAATAAGAAATCCCAAAGTTACAGGATCAATCCTATTAAAGTGACTTGAGTAACAACTCAATCAGACACAATCCAAATCAGTGCCAAAAGAATAAGGTCATAATTGAGAATTCCCCATAATTTCCTTAAAAGTATTTAATATGTGCCACATTCCACCAATCATGAAGATTAAGACAACATATTTAACCCAAGACCAGGAAATTATTCTATGCATTTCCCAATTAGGCTGGGAGAAACAAATTTAAGTATGTTAGTGAACTGGATTCCCAAAAAGGCAACCAATTCTAACCAAAAGGACAAAATGCAATCTCCAGGAAATTAATCAAGTGAAATGTGTACAATAAACAATAGCAACTCCAGATGAAGTTAAAAAAATCTTCTATGACATTAAGCATCGTTGAGTAGAAGGTTTGGTTTTCAAGCGACGTCAAGCCTCAGTAACTACTCAGGAATATGTAAAGTTCTCACCTTTCCATGTCTAAGGAAAAGGTGTGCTTGGTCATGTTGTGAATCTTGAACTGATATGTCAAGAACTTCATTCCCTATGAGCAACTGTAAGCTGCCATCAGACCATCTCACAAAGCGTGCATTACTTTCAATCTGCAAAACAAAAGCAGCACACCAGGGCAACATGCGTTACACAAGCAGTAAATGGAAAGCAGTTTATATAGGTTTATTTCAGCATTAGACTAAAATACTCAAAGAAACATCATCAATATTTACAAACATCAACATAAACAGTCAACTATCCATAAAAGAGCTATCTCTTGGGCCCAGCATAAGCCAAAATGTTTATGAGCAATTGATAACAATAATCATCCTTTTATCCACTATGTAGAGACAACTATATGGATAACCAATACATTACCCACCCAGGTGAAATAATACTTTCTGTTGTACTTAACACCAAACGCAACAATACTAGCAAAAAAACTTCCATGTCATGCCAAACTTTGAATCAGTAAACATAACAAATTCAATTTCCACTATTTGACCAAACAAAAAACACTAACACATTGACTACCAAGCCAATGTAGATCAAGTCAAAGTGTTCTTAACTCCTACATTCCCACAAACTTCCAGCATAACTTAGATAAAAAAGATAGATTCATGACATGCCAGGAAATAGATAATAGAGGATAGCATTGCATGTAAAACCACTTCTTCATTAAGGTGACATGTTACAGGCAAGAATGAGGCAATGACTGCAATGTTTCTCTATAAAACCTAGTTTATTACACTACAAGCGTATACCTTAAGAACTGCCAGTTGAACAAAGATAAATATGATAATAAAGATATTTGACGGCTTAAAAAATTGCAAGTCAGCACAGACAGTCAACGATAGACTAAGGCTCAGATTTGTTCTCTGAATGCTTCCACTATACACTTACAGATTTACTGCCATCGGGATTTGTCACTTTCCTCCATCGAACAATATTATTTTCTAAGCGGATCCGTCTCTTGGATCCAGATTCGTCTGTCACAAAATGATCCTCTTCAACATATGTTTTGGGGTCAAAAGGCTTTCGGTCAATGCCCATTATATTAGATACCTTGATCATGTTCATCTGCAGATGAATAAGAATAATAAGATTTAACGTTACATCACTTTTGTTTGGGTAACTTTGGCAGACTAAAGATCCTAGAGCAATGAAAGGACTACTGTAAGACCACAAAATGAATGAAGCCAAAATATAGTCTCTTTCCTTTGTGGCAACCCTTGAAGTTAAAATTGCAAAGTCCAATAGACAGGAACTAAGTATAGACCTCCAGATAGACAGAGGTAACGAAGAGGTGAAATTATTAAGGACAACCAAAAATTCCATAACAACAATAATCTCACCCCAGATATTTCTACCCAATGAAAATCTTAAAATTACTCCCTCCATCCAAAAAAAAAAGGTCCACATTGAGTTGTTAAATTTGTACTGTTTTGATATTAATCAATGAGCAAGGCCTGACTTAGGCTCTAGTACAAATTTGGAAACTCCATGTGGACTATTTTTGGAGGGACGAGGGAGTATCTCCGAATCCATATGCATGCATAATGTTCAAATTATTAAATTGATGAGTTGACAACGTAATCCAACACATTTAACATTGTCTGCACTTAAGAACCATAATTTTTACAGATTTTTTCATTAAATAGTCAAAATATTAACATTGGAAAAAATACTTCAAAGAATATGAAAAATAGCTAAATGCAAAGCATTTGGACAGTTTATGACTAAAGGAACAGCTAGTGATTTAGAATAACATATCCCACAAAAGAAAATGAAGAAATCACTTCATCATCTTGAAGAATGAGACACAAACATTTGAGTGAACGATCATCTGAGGTAGAAAACTCAAGCAAGAATGCGTAATCTAACAAAACTCCAGCAAAGCGAAGTATGCAAATAAGAAAAGTAAATTTAGACTATTTCACTGCATCATTCAACAATATTGATTACTACAGTTATCACCATCAGACTGAGTCAACCTATGCAGCAGAATTAGTAGAAGATTCTCAGATAACCAAATGGACGTATGCATCGTAAATTATTCTCAAATTTTTTTATTCAGTTGTTACCCTAAGAAGGAGAAGAAGGAAAAAGTATTAATTTTTTTTTTTTCAAAAAAAGAAGGACCTTATCAGGATGAGCCGGAGGAGGACGCAGGGGAATTTCCAGCTCCAATGGAGGGCCAACTGGCTTTTCCTTTATTTTAGCCTCAACATGCTCTTCCTCAGACTCATATTGACCCTCCTCATCCGCTAGCATATCTTCTGGTTTAAGTTCCTTATCAAAGTCTTCCTCTTCCATAGGGGATCTCTGTCAAAGGGGATAGGCTGTTATCCAATTTCATTCAGGCTAAGCCAATGAAATCAGCTGCGGAAAATGTCAAAATAAATACACAATACAAGCTTTGCATTCCACTAACATTTGCCTCATCTTCATTTTGGTTTTGAACTTCATACTCCAGCGGTTCTTCATCATCAGAATCTCCAAAAACATCACGGATTTCTGGCGCTGAACGTGAGAAATCAGCGTCATCTTTCTCTTGACTAGGCGACCTACACAAAGCCGGAATCATTAAGATCATAGGATAAGGAAAAACAAAACACAAGTTTTCGGTTTACATAATGATTATGGCGGCAAAAGTCCAATAGTCATGGATAAGGAACGGCATCCAAAGTTACTAAAACTGCATAAAATAAGACTAAAAAGTAAACTACAATAATTTCTTGAGTGGAAAGACAAGGAGAGGTGACTTTTATCTGTTTGAGTGTAAAATGGGATCTCAACTGGTCAATTCAGGCCCTCAATCGAGCGCATTAACGACACAACACAAACCACAAATAGGAACTAACTTAGCATCTAAACAACCTCGCCTGACTTCATAAAGATTTTTTTGGACACTCAATTTCAATACAGGTAAATGTCAAAACTCAACAGCCCAATAAATGCATTTAGTGAAGAACACTTGCAGAAAATGTCAAACACATAATGGATCCGAAGAGCACCAAGGTCCTGTATAACCACACAAGATACAATATGCTTCTTGCTGAATAGACTTACTAAAAATCATTAAAAATCAAGGTATCATTTACTGATATACATCCGCAGAGAAAGTGCAAGCCACATCGAAGACACTAAACAGGGCCCCTGAAACATGATTAATCAAATGACTACTGTCACACTTCCATTTTTTTAGCAATCCCAACACTATAATATAACTTTCCAAAAAAGAAATAGAAAGCCTTTATTTTCAAAACTTTCCCACGGTTTTAGCAGACCAATTTGCAATGTTAATGATCATTTTTAAAAAATTCTTTTAATTAAAATAAGGAATAATATTATCAGCTAATAAACCTCACATAAGTAGACAAGAAAAAAAATCAGGAACTAGGAGGAAATGACACTGAAATTTGAGAAGAATACCTAGATGCTCTACCCTGATTCACTTCCTCATCTTCATTATCAGCATAATTGTTCTCCTCAGATCTTTCTGATCCGCTATTTATTGCGTCACGTTTCCTGCTAGTTGCAGCTCTTTGACCATACTCGATTTTCTCGTCACTATCTGAGTCTTTTTCTCCACTTTCTTCTCTATGATCACCAACATCAACATCCTGCGAACTCTGATCTCTCTCACCTTCACTTTCACCATGCTCGTGATACACATCTTGTAGTTCACCATCACTTTCTATTTCTGCCTCCCCATGACCTTCTACTTCACCTTCACCTTCCCCATCGCCCTCTGGCTCCAGCCCTTCATCCCCTTCTTCCTGTACATTCATATGATGTACATGAGCAATCAAGACCAGATCAATATATGCCACATTCTCTCTGAGTCTCTTACTATAACAGTATCCAGACACAGGTTAAAACTTACACACATAAAAGAAAAAAAGAAACAAAGAAGAAAAAGAACTTGATTTAACCATATTTTAAAATCCTTATAATTTCAATACATAAACCAACCAAAATTCCCTCTGTGATCACGATCAAATTATGGACTTAAAAGTACTAGTAATATGAACTTATCCTCGAATCTTTACATACCCACAAGCTGACCGTAAAGTCAATAACAAGTTAGAGTAACTACTTTCACAAGTTTCGTCCCAAAAAAAAAAAAAAAAAAAACTACTTTCACAAGAAATACACATACAATTACACATCCTCCGCATGTATAACAATAAGAAATATGGTAGTTAAGCTTTTTTCAAATCCATCAAATTCCTAAATCATCAATACACACCCGAAAATAAAGAAAATAAAAGGAACTCAAATTTCCTTCTTTTAGTAAAAGTTGAAACTGAAGAGCAAAATAAATCTTGAGCCAATTGAATTTCACCAGAAACAAAGAAAAAAAAAAACTCTATCAGGAAAAAAAAAAAAAAAACATGATTATAGACGCACTTAAAATTATGATGACACACAAAAACTCAAATCACACATATACACTAGGAAAACAATAAGCATCGGGGGACAAATGCGTGCATATATACACGTATACACATCAACTCACGCCATTCTTAACTAGGACCGTGACCTAAATTTTGGGAATTAGGGCCAACCCACCCATTCTAATAAAACGAAATACACAAATTCATTCAACCATCGTAGTTTCATCTCAAATTAAACCTATGAAATCAACAAAGCATCAAATACATAACTTCCAAAAATCAAAAAATTATATTAAAAAAAAAGGTAAGCTCGTACGGAGGCATTGCCAGGCTGCCGATTAGACTCGTGCTCAGACTCAACCTCCTCTTCTTCCTCTTCCTCCGACTGATCCCCAAACAAATTCTGCATCATCTGATGCCTCTTCTCTTCTCCCACCATTTTGTTCAACTAAATTTTCGAGCTCTATGGCAGTGTCACCGATGTCCCTCTTTCTGTTCGGTGCGTGACTGTGTGTTTGGGTTTGTGAAGAAAGAGCTCTGTGTAATATATATGTACTCTCGTAACGGTTTGTAAATATTTCGGTTTTGCGATAGTAGTAAAAGTATTTCTTTAGTGATACAAAAAAAATTGGTCCATCTACATTTTACGCACGGAATTATGACAATTTATCAAATGGAACCCTAACTTTTGGTCATTAACATAGAGTCATGCCGAAATTTGTTAAATGACCAAAAAGCCAAGTCCGCTTTGGGTAAAAAATTTATGAACAATTTGTCAAAAATTATACCAAGTGCATGTAGTTAGGTATACATAGTAGGCATGTTCATTGGGTCGGGTAAACCGATATCCGACCCGAACCGAAATAAGTTTTGCATTTTGGTCAAACTTAATTTGGATTTTCGGGTGGAATTTGAGTTAATCCGATAAGATGTTTTCTTTTAAGAACTTATATCGGTTAATTATCATCTAAACCGAATTATCCAAACTCCCCAATTTTCTCTCCAAATCCAGATTCTTCTCCATAACCCTCTGCCACCTTTTCTCAGCCGCCAAATGACAAGCACCTCAAACATAAAAAAGTCTCCCCAATTCAAAACTCAACCCGTTGCTTCTTTTCCTCGTTGTCCTCTTCCCTTCTCTTGCATGCTTTACTACGTTCAATTGGTTTCCGTGGAAAACTATTCTTATCCGGCATCTTACCCCCGATTCCAGTGATTACTCCTCTCCGGCCACGCGAAATTGAGCTCGACGGAATTTCAATCTAATCAATTGCTGGCCGCCCTCTCATCCCCACCTCTCCAGATCTCGTCGGCGGCCCCTCTTAGCCAAACCTCTCCAGATCTTGTCTTTGTTCAAGATCCGTATTTTTTTTTGTCCTTTTTGTGATGATTAAAAAGATTGCCTTTTGAGGATGACTATGGTTTCTCCCTATCATAAATATTTCAGCTCCTTGCTCTAATGAAAGAGATCCACTTATGCTAGATTGTGTATTTCCCCAATTCATTTGTCCAATTTTTGAAGATTTAATTTGTATCTTGTGGCTACCGGAGATTCTTTGTCTCTTTGTTAATGTGACCTGAGAAGTTCATGTTTATTTCGGGTTACCGAAAATCTGACCGAGAATTCTGAATAACTGATTAAATTATTCGGTTATTTATAGGATAATCTTGTATTTTTGTTCGGGCTTGAACCATCTCTACCCATATACCGGAATAACCGAATCTGCAAACCCGATAACCCGACCGTTTGACCCGGTGAACATGCTTAACACATAGACCCTTATTTGGCAATTAATATATGAAAGGAGGGCTAAATATGCAAGTCTTTATGAGTTAGGTGAAACACACGCACCACTCTTCCTTATTTTTAGGAAGTGGGTTTTAAAATTTCTTTTGTCTTCAAATTCTTGTATTTCTTAATCCGTAGTGAACTAAACCAAGGGTCTTATATCATTTTGATAGTACTCGATGAGATCTATCCAACAAGATCCATCATGAATATATTTTTCGAAACTTAAAAAAAATTATTCAGTTGCCTTGGTCTTCCAGAAAGACATTATGGTCTTACTTGTTTCTTTTAGGACCACGACCTACAGAAAAGACTAAAAGCCAAAGGCCAAAAACCAAAAATTGAATATGAAAGAGCAAAGAGCAAAGACTAGAGTAAAGAGCGAGCATGTGTGAGGAACAATGACAAAAGACCAAAGACTAAAGAACAAGAAACCGAAGATCAAAGAGCAAAAACCGAAGACCAAAGATCAGTGTGAAAGAGCGAGCGTTGTGTGAGCAGCAAAGACCAAACACCAAAAACCAAAGAGCAAATCCCAAAGACCAAAGACCAAAGGCCAACGACCAAAGACCAAAGACCGAAGGCCAATGACCAAAGACCAAAGACCAAAGACTAACGACCGAAAGCCAAAGATCAGAGACCAAAAAAAATTTACAAAAACTAAAGACCAAAGACCAAAGACCAGAAATAAAAGCGAGCGTGTGTGAGGAGTAAAGACTAAAGGCCAAAAATAAAAAATCGAAAAAATATTAGTGTGCTTAGGGTTTAGGGAGGTTTAAGCATTTCCTTGTCGGTTACAGTCTAGTTGTTTAGGATTTAGGGTTTAGAGGGTTTAAGCATTTCCTTGTCGGTTACGGTCTAGTTGTTTAGGATTTGAGGTTTAGGGGGTTTGAGCATTTCTTTTTTTTACGGTCTAGTTGTTTAGGATTTAGGGTTTATGGGAGTTTAAGCATTTCTTTATCGGTTAGGGCCTAGTATGTGCCATAACACGGTGAACCTATAAATTTTTTTAAACCAAAAAAATAAATCAGTGTGTTTAGGATTTAGGGAGGTTTAACCATCTCCGTGTCGGTTAGGATCTAGTTGTTTAGGTTTTAGGGTTTAGGGGGTTTAAACATTTCCGTGTCGATTAGAGCCTAGTTTGGACCGTAACACGATTAACCTTATAAATTTTATTAAACCAATTAGCTAGGGTTTTGTTTACGAGGCCCTAGCCTAATTGGTTTAAAAACTTTTAAACCAAAAAAAAAATTAGTGTGTTTAGGGTTTAGGGAGTTTAACCATTTCCGTGTCGGTTAGGTCTAGTTATTTAGGGTTTAGGGATATTTAAGCATTTCCGTATCGGTTAGGGTCTAGTTGTTTAGGATTTAGGGTTTAGGAGGTTTAAGCATCTTTGTGCCAGTTATGGCCTAATTTGTGCTATAACACAATTAACCTTATGAAATTTTTTTAAACTAATTAGGCTAAAAAAATTAAAAAATAATATTGGTGGGTTAAAGAATTTCCGAGTCGGTTAGGGTCTAGTTGTTTAGAGTTTAGGGTTTAGGGGGATTTAAGCATTTATGTGTTGGTTAGGCCCTAGTTTGGCCTTTTAGCCATTGGTCTTTGGTCTTTGCTCCTCATACACATTTGCTATTTATTATGGTCTTTGGTCTTTGATCTCTCGATTTTTTGTCTTTGGCCTTTTGTCTTTGGTCTTTGTTTTTCACATACGCTCGCTCTTCACTCTGGTCTTTGGCCTTTGATTTTTTGGTCTTTGGTCCTCACACACGCTCGCTTCTCACTTTGATCTTTGGTCTTTGGTTTTTTGTCTTTGCTCTTTGGTTTTCGCTTTTTGGTCTTTTGACCTTTGGTCTTTGGTGTTTGCTTTAGGTCTTGGTTCTAAAAGACACAAATAAGACCATACCGTATTTTAAGAAGACTAAGTCAACTGCATAAATTTTTTAAAGTTTTGAAAAACATATTCATGATGGATCTTGTTAGATAGATCTCATCGAGTACTATCAAAATGATATAAGACATTTGGTATAGTTCATTACAGATTAAGAAATAAAATCATTTGAAGATAAAAGAAATTTTTAAAACACAATTCCTAAAATTAAGGGGAAGAGACACGTACATTGAAAAGGAAAAAAAAAGTATGTTAAATAATATACATAAAGTTCCTCCGTTATTGAATAATTAAAAAAGAGTCTAAGTGCACCTAGCTAGATGCGAAAAATTATTCCATACGGTAAGCGTATCCCTTTTTTAGTGCAGCAAGACACCTATTATACTGGAATATCATGGTCCCTTAATTTTATTGTAATTTTTTCAGTAAAATCACAATCTTGCCCTGTTTATATTTCTGGATGCACAATCCTACGTGGTACGGTAGTTGTATGGAAGATTGTCTTGCTAGATGCACTTAATGTGCATAGTATAATAACTCACAATTTTTCGTTTTTTTTTTTTTTGCAGAGAGGATTTTCATTAAGGGCGTTGCACATTTCATAATTTCAAAAAAGGGTGTAAAATTTTAAAATTCCTATTAAGTGCGTAATAAATGTTTAATATGCTAGATATATTTTTGATGACATTTCTATCCCTTTTAATGGTAACTCACATCATCATACTTTTGGAATGATAGATATTCATTAATTCTTATTCGAAATTGGCTCCAAACTCTCCTCAAAAGAATCATGAAAACAAATCATATCGAATATAAAAACGTGAATTTTTTAAGTATTTATTTCATGATATTTGTAAAATTGAATAAGCGATACATCTTTTTTTAAAAAAAAAACAATCAGCGACCATTACAAGTTTTACAGATAAATGACCAAAAAGTTTTTTTTTTTTAATAAAAAAAAGACCTTTTCATCATAATGAGGAACATAAAAAAAAGTACTAGAAAATTCAAAGACATGTGAAAATTTACGAAAAAATAATGTTTAAGGCATAAATTGAAAAGTAAGTACGATTGGTCGTCTTTTTAATTGTTTCCAAAATAACGAAAATTTGCTGATATTTTTGCATCTTATTATTTCTTTTTTACTGAGATTTTGTAATCTTAAAATTACAGTTATTTATGTACACCAATGTAATGTAAGTTGTACTATTGAGATGGATAGATTTTGTTAACAACAAAGTTAAAAGAACAATCCAGTATAATATGCATAATACTTTGCCAAGGAAATAAATAAATATCTCGTTAATAATTACACAAAAAGGGTAGAGATGTCAAGAAAGTATATATTAGTGTATTAAAGTATTTATCACGCCCACAATAGAAATTTTTAAAATTTCACATCTTCATTTAAAATTATTAATAAATATCCCCCCTACCCAGCTTATCTTTTCACATTTTCAATACAACTTTTTACATCTATATATATATATACTAGTGATGTCTGGTCGCGCAATGCGCGACCCTGGCCCAGTCTATCTGTAGATCTCGGAAATGTTTATATTTGAAAAAAAAAAAAAAATTTGTATTTGGAGCGATATATTTTAGAAATGTTTGAAGGATTTAGAAATGTTCTATAAGTGTGATCATAGAAATATTTGTATTTCACAAAAAAAAAAAAAAGAAATTGTATTTCGCCATGTATGTTTTAAAAATGTTTTATAAGTGTTATTTATTAAATATAAATAGACTTAATCGAATATATGTGTTGAAATAAATGTTAGATAAAATATAAAAGTATCCTAATAAGTTTAAATATTAGTAAGATGATTTATTGATGTTCTCCATTGGTCGTGCCAAATCAATACTTAGTTTTGGAGATTTTTAATAACTTTG